TGTTGCCTATATAATAGATTTTAAACGTCCCCACAAATGAAAATCTAATGGATTCAAATCCGGAGAACGAGCAGGCCATGCAATAGGACCTCCACGACCAATCCATTTATTTGCAAAGTGTCGATTGAAAAATTGCCTAGCCACTCGGCTAAAATGCGGCGGAGCTCCATCATGCACAAACCGCATACGAATAATCTAATATTGACTGGAACTTCCTCTAATATTTCGTGTAAACGCGTGCTCAAAAAATCAACGTACTTTGTGCTTGTTAGTTTCCCATCAAGAAAAAAGGTCCAATTAAAAATTTATCAATTATTCCTGCCCATACGTTTAAATTAAACTGGCGTTGATGTCTTGAATGCACAATAACGCGTGGGTTTTCTTCATCCCAATTATGATTATTATGAAAATTGAATATACCACCTCCAGTAAAAGTAGCTTCATCAGTGAAAAGTATAGTAGATACAAAACTCTCATCATGTTCACACCTTTGCAGGAACCAAGAACAAAAAACCAAAGACATTAATTAAGTATTATTTGTAAACAGTACGAATTCTTGCTTACGAACTATTGCAGTCTATGGAAAGAGAGTTTGCTCGGTTTATAAAATTCATTATATCTCATAAACGAAAACAGATAGGACATATAATTATGACTTTTTTCATTGGAGCTCCAGGGCTTCCAGAGCTCATTGCTGCGAGACATCTGAATTCATAAAGCAGCAACTTTTCTGGCCTTCCCATTGTGTCTGATTATGAAGCATCACTGTGTTTACTTCACTCCTTTCGCTTCATCTTTGGTATACGTATGACACACTTTTACGTGAGTATCTTTTTACTTCACAGAAATTTGCACGTGACAACTGTAACAAAGCAATAGAATATGTCTTTTTAACGAGTTTATTGCTTTTATGACAGGCGAACGATACGCGATGAGACACAAATTGAAAATCACGAAGCTGTCAGAGTACTTTTATCGCAACTCGTAACGAATCATGTATCACTTTTTCAAGAGATATCCATTTATTTTCAGTTAATCGTATTTTGAACTGGATAATGAATGCTATTTGTAGCACAGTAATTTGTACAAATGTTTAATTTCAAATTCAATGTCTTAAGTAAATTATTCAAAATTTATGTAACTACAATGTAAATGAATGACGTGTTAATTTAAAAAAGAACTGAATTCCCATTATCAATCCGCGTAAACAGAAAATGTCAAATTCCAACCTAGCATTATTTTAAACACGGACGAAGCATCGACTCTGGATAGTTTGCTTCGGTTTGGTCGTGTGTGTAACCTCGCACGGCAAAACAAAATTACATTCCGATAAGATAAAAACGCAGCTGTAGGTTTCGAAAGCGTCGTAAATACGTCACCGATCGATCGGCCGGGCCGATGGAAATTTTTACAGGCGCCGAATCGTCGGAAACCAGCCCCGGGAAACAATATTTATCAGGGTTGTGATGTCGATGGGGAGCTCGTCGTCTCGTGTGCACGTTGTGCACCAACGTCAATAAAAATCAGCGTAAATTTTCTGGAATCGTAACGAGCCAAACGTCGTTCTTTCTTCATTGACGGAGATTCGATCGGTCACGGTTTCGATTAATTAATTAATCGGCGTTGCTTGAATCGGTGAAGTTGCTACACGATTCTTCGTGCGTTTCTTCGCGCGTGCATGGAGATGATGTACATGAAATGTTCCCCATCTTGCGCAATCTCCTTTTACTAAGGAAAGCAAGAATAGAATTTGCATCATTGTCTGACAGGGGATAAAGAACGTTTTGGAAATTTGTCGTTACGATCGTGCAACGTCATTACGTAAAAAAAAAAAAAGATAAGTGTAAGTGTTATTGATTTCACTTTATCGTCTTAAAAGTGAACTGGAAAGTTTCAAACAAGTTTCGTTCGTATCATTTAACTTTTACCCTCTATTTTATCAAATATCTTTTTATAGGGGAAGTCCTGTTTCCACGTTTTTCTCTTTAATGAAGAGTATTTAAAACTCTCTATTAAAAAAAAAAAAGAAATTTGACCTTGAATGTAATAGCTTGATAGCTGTACTTCTCTTTCGAAACGTTTATGTTAAATATTCTTACAGAGAAAAAGCCGTCGTTTTCGAGATATTTGAACTGGAAATTTTCGAATAAACACACTGCATACAATTGTTCGCGTTAATATTTAGACAATAAATATTGAAACTGTTGCAATTTCATAAAATAAAATCGTGCAGCAATAAACCCGGGTTCATTTCGAAGCTCGAAGCCTTTACTTTCAAAATGCACCATTTATTTTATTCGAGGAGATTCTTACACCCATGCAGTGTAAAAATGAAGACGCTTCTCTTCACGAAAATGTTACGAATCGTTACGAATGTGCGTAAAAGCATTGAATAATTTCTTTCACGATGGAATCTGCAATAGAGTTGAAGACTGAAGTGCTTGACGTAATGTACAAGACCTGACCTACGATTTTTTCCTCCGCCGTTTTATTGAATTTTGAATGCCAGACGAAAACGAATCCGAAACGAAAATGCTACGACCGCTTCGATTTTCGTCGCCAGGGTCTAATATTCAAAGTTAAAATTAAACACTCGATTTTCTAAAGCACTGAAATAGAATTGTATCGCGCACGACGCGCGCTGATACCTACGGTCCGGTACAACCAGAAGAGTTCAGTCGTCGTTGTCATTGCGTTTAAAATAAGAATGGTCGAAAACGACAAAATAGTTTCGGCCATCGAGGTCCGGTCGAGGGGTGGTGCTCTCGCAGGGGCATCGATTCATCGCGAAGGTCGCGTTGACACGATCGGGAATCCTTCAACTTTCGATGCATGTGAACGCATCGGCGCCATATGTTAGCGTGCACGAGCCGTTGCTCTATTCCCCGCAAAAATCGACTAATAAAAAGGCAACTCGTCGACCTTCGATATAGTCTATGCCTCCGTGGCAACTGCCTCTCTCTCTTTCTCCCTCTCTCTCTCTCTTTCTTACACACACACACACACACACACATACTGTGTTTCTCTCTGTGTGGTTCTCTCGATTCTCTCCTCGTTGCGCCGCAGCATCGACGAGGCTCACCTGTCTCTCTCCGTCTCTCCCTCGCCGCCCCGTCGTTTCCTCCCTTCTTTCTCTTTGCCTTTCTGTTTCTGCTGGTCTCTACGGTTGCGCCGGTGTGCACCGTTGCCAACTTTCACGTATCATAATACACAGTGAAAGAATGTGGTTTCCCTTTCAAATTACAAAATACGGTGCGAGCGCGCATTGCGCGCCGCACACTTCCTTCGGCTGCTCCGCTATTTTCTTTCTTGCCGCGATTTCATCCGGGCTCGACCTCGCCGATCCTCTTCGACGCGGCGTTAAGCACCTTCGTCCGGAAACTCAGCGCCTCGCTTCATCCACTTTATGACTGGTGTTACAGCGATCTCTTTGCTCTTTCGCTTTTACATTCGACGTTACAATTCGCACGTTTCTCTTTTCAATTGAATTAATAATATTGACGATATGGTGCAGCTCGATTATTATCGTGGCAATGATTAAATTACTGATAAATTACTGATAAATTACGATAGCTGCAAAGACACGGTTTGGATTGGAAATGAGTGGGGGAAAAAAAAAACTAGCTAACAAGTTAACAATGGCAAAAGTGCTTAGTTTTTGTGATAGAAATACACGATACGAATGATGGTATCTCTCGGAAAACTTTTACTAACGTTAGTTGAAACTAATTTTGTGTTTCCTACGATTAACCCTTGTAACTTCGAGGCACACTCGTGGCATGAATCCTAATTTCAATTGAACAAAGATTGTGTTTGCAACAGAGTTCAATTTCAATTTTAACTTTAGCCCTTTGGTTGTTCAAACTCGACATTTTGATCAAAACAACGTTCCAATTTAACGTCAAATGACCAATTCCTTTTGTTTTACATATACCTACAGAACAGCGTAGTTATGGAGATTTGAATGATACCTCACAGTGTATTCTCGTTTCATTCGTATCGTAAATCTTTGCCTGTACTCCGTACTTTAATTTCTCTAAAAATAAAAGTTCCGCCATAGGACACACACGGATCTTTTCGATCCGATATCTTGTTAACAGAAGATTATAAGTCCCTGTTCACAGTTTTCCGTGTTCCGTAAATTATGAGCAGAACACTTGTACGTAGCGTCGGCCGGTAATCAAAGCGATCCCTCTTCTTCTTGCTGAATCGAGGTCACAAAATCGCTCGGGTTCTATCGACTTCGCCCGGTCTCGCCTTCACCAAGGATACTCCGTCGACCGGCGTAACACTTGAGACTGAAGCCTTGATTAAGATATTACGTTGCCACGCATGGTCCACGCACGCCGCTGGATTTTACTCTGCTACAGACAGTCTTGACCTAGATATTCTGTAAAAACCAGTAGGGACGTCAGTTCTAATTGCGAATATCGATTCGATGGGTGTCGATTCGTTGTTTGCCATCGTCGGTCACCGTTTTGTATTATCTTTCTGACGGTGGAGTCACTTCGATCAGAAAAACATTTACGCGCCAAATTGGGTCAGGGATACGCAAAATGACGACCAACCTGTCAAACATGAATAAATATAAAATAATAATAATAATAGTAACGAGTAATATAATATATATAGAGCGACCTGAACTTAAACGGCCAAACTGCGACGGTTTGATCCATGCATAAAAAGAAGATAAAAATGTTACATAACGTTTGTCAAAAAGCGTTTTGTTACAGAGTTATAAACAAATATTGTATGGATGAATTAAGTAGCTACGTATTTTTATAACTTCACATCAAAACTAGCGCAAAGGATTAAAAATATGGTTTTATTAATGTTCAGTAAAAGTCTTAAGAACTAACAGTATTGTTAATTCTATTATCCACTGATATCAGGTTCCATGGAATTAAAAATTATTTGTTATCGTATTATTGTTGCAATTGATGATATGAACAGTATTAGTAATAGTAACAGTAATGGTAATGTACGGTGAATGCAAAAAATATTCGCAAACGATTGTATTTATTACAAATTTTGTAATCATTTAGGATCAAGTATATTAAATTTTATGTTATGCAATTACAAAGATTTTCGAGGACCATGATAAGAAGAGACGCTTAATTGGAAAATAACTGTGTATTTTCGACTCTCTCCCTTCAGTTGTAACTAAATCAGTATACTTTTCCTATTTTTTTGTTTATATTTGATTTTAATTGGCAATAAAAGTAACGTACAAATAAATTCATTTTTGTGTCATAACACAAAATAATTTGATATTCTGTATTATCACTTTCATGCGCGGTTAAAAATAATACACATCTCACAAGAAATGATCCTTTATCCTTAAACACAACGTAAACGATATCGTGTGATTTGCTCCTCATCGAAATGTCCATCACACGGTAAACAAAGTAACACGATCTCTTGACTGCCTCTCTTTTCACTCAGGTTTCACATCATTGATAATCAAACAGCAGCTGACAGACTGGTTAATTTAAACCAACTGCATCGATCGAATTATATCCCATCAAGAATAATGAAACGGAAATTCATCATGTCGGTTTTCGAAATGGGCCGAGGAAAATCCGAAAAACGATATTGTACGTGTGTTGTTCTCTCTCTCTCTCTCTCTCTCTCTCTCTCTCTCTCTCTCTCTCTCTCTCTCTCTCTTTCGGGGTAATGTCCGCACATGCAACAGGTTTCTGGCGTATTTCTACTGCGACCAGTTCCTAAGCAGAATATCCCAGAGTCTGTTCAGTAATTCAGGATGTTTCTGACAGCCGCGAAGCACCGCCACTTGTCTGGTAGATAGAATGGCTCGAACACGTGCGGGAAAGGGCAGTCCCAGCCTGTGACCCTTTGCACCGGCGCTTCCAGATGTAGGAAACACTCCTCCTGCATTGCAAATGTTTTTATTCGTCTTCACAAATTTCATAAATCGACAACGCACCGCGTTGAAGTTTCAAAGAGGGATAAAAATATAAAATTAATAAATAAATTGATAAATATGTAAAAATAAAAACGTAAGATGCAAGATACTTTGTCAATTAAAAATTTAAAACTATTACGCATTTTAAGGAGTACAGGAATTTCAAGTGAAAGATCGTAGGAAAACTTTTGTTTAAAAAAAAAAAAAAAAGGAAAACACGGGATTGAGATGATTCTCGATGATATCTCGACTAATGACATTGATCGCGCGTGCAATTTTACAGTTTTCGTCACACTGAGAGACAGATGAACGATCGTGTTATTAGTTAAGGTTTAAATTACCAATGATCGAGCTATTCATTTGCTAATTTAGCGCTAGGTATAGGAATTTTGCAAGGCAGCCGAGGTTTGTACATCTGAGCAAGCTGAAGCGTATCGAACCGTCACGAAGTGTTCACATGACGTAACAGAAAATACGCGTAATGATATCCTGCCACATTCCAACGGCGCATTGAACATGCATCTAATGGATTTTCGGCACCGTGCACGCGCTACGTGTAAATAATTTCGCAACTGGAATCTACTTAAAATTCCGTTTAATTATCAATTCGATTTGTTAAAGGGATATCTCAACGTTGAATTCGATTACGCGTTAGTTATTTCGCATTAACGCGGTGTAATATCGTTTCGTAAGTTTTGTCATTTTCTTAATCGCCAATTTCTTTTCTTCAGTAAAATTTTGCTACTACGAAGTCCATTGTTAAACTACGAGAGTACTACGACTGACATTCTTCAATAGAAAATGATCCTCTCGTTCGTGAAGATATAAGAGGCTTGCAAATAGAAACCGCGCGCACCTCGAAAATGACGGAGCTTGCGAAAGTCTCTTCTTTACTTTGAACTTTTAATTCTTCTCCTCGGTGTAATTTTTCTCCTCGTCGCGGTCGAACGGGATTTAAGTTGAAACGTAGTAATCGAGCGTCCAATTTCGCCTACGTTGTTATGTCATACTGGAATATTTTCAAGGAAACATTTACCTGAACGATCGAGACTATTTCTGCTCCGAAGCCACTCGTTAGCGGCGCTTCATGGGCGATTACCACGCGACCAGTCTTCTTCGCCGACTGCAACATTGCATTATTATTAAAACAAAACGGTCACGTGTAAATCCAACCGATTGTTTGGCGTCGATGTTTACACTGAACGAAGGATAAATAAATTAAATGATATTAGTGATATTAGGTACCATTAGTTGGAATTAATTAGAATTAGAGTTGGTCGTCATTACGTAGATGGAGGAATAAGAAATTTCTATTGTAATATCCTAATACATATTTCCAAGTAAATACAAATTCTTGATAAAATACAAGACAATTATCGAGCTGACAGAATGTTCGGATCAGTTTCGAGAGTTTCAAGTATTATTATACGTGTGTACAAGTACATTAGGATATCAGGCAGTTTGTAGAAGTACCATTAATCATTAAAGAGAAAATCAATAGCCTTGGCAATTATCAGCTCACACAGAGGCCCAATTGATCGTGTTTGATGAAGATAAATCGGTGGATTTTTATTAGGTTAACAAGTATTAATTACATGTACCAACAAAACAGAGAAGTTGATAGTTCCATTTCTGAATTAGTCGTATCAAAATAGAAATCAAAAATATTAAAACATTCCCAATATTACATAAAAGTAATCAGTCACGTAGTAAAGAGTATCAGAAATCCAAGATTTACAATCTATTGGAATACTGCCAATAAATTTCCTAAAGCTCTAATACCTTAATATGTCACTATCGGAATAATATCAACATTTACCAAAAGACAACATCAAACAATTTCCATCCGCAGTCCCTGGATTAACGTGGGTAATCGAACTATCCCGCTCATACCACACGAATACCAATGCCTCCTCTCCTTACACACACAGCTTGCTATTTTGTCGAAGGATAATCACTTACTCAAGCAAGCTTTTTACTCGTCCCCTCTCCGCGAATCTTCACCGCTATCATGGAAACGTTCGATTACAAAATCGGCAATTAAACGTTCACAGTGATTTCAGTGGATAGTTTGATCTGCAAACTCGACCCGAGACCAGCTATGACTATCCGCAGCATAGTGAGTTGTAAACAGTAATTCGTAGTTGATAGAACGAACTATTTTCTGGATCAATTTGTAAATGATTTACGCATCGTCCCATGTTGACTTTGAGCAACCTGATTTAACTGATTCAAACTGCTTGGCTTTGAGCAATCTGAGTCTGAGAGGATGCTTTATTCTGGGTTAAAATATGTTATAATAATATTTGCATACGTATAATATTTCCCTTCAATTATTCAGAGTAGGATAACTTAATATTCAATGAAATAAAAATCTGATATAAAGATTTCTTTCCAGCCATATGGTGCATTTACTTCTTTCTCTTTCTTTCTTTTTTCTTCTTTCTTGTGGCAAATATTAAATCGGAGAGACTATCGAATCGAACGTTAGAAACTAGTGAACCTTGTAATTAAGATACACGTAGGCGAATGCACGTGTGTGCTCTGTCTTAAATCATTAGAAACGGTAACTCGATAACGCTTGTACGATTGTGCAGGACAGAGTTGCATACAGGTTTCTGTGACATTTCAGATTTCAGCTCTGACCTTCCAACGTTGCTTTCTGAGACCACCAGAGTTTAATGATTTTCGTAACTTTCAAGATTGTTAGAAACTTGAGTTGATGCGACAAGGTTTCTTCCAGGATCGTTTATTTAACTTTGGTTGCAAAGTTAAATTCGAAGAGCATTTGAAACCTGTCTGTGTGATTTAATTTAATTTAATTTAATTCAACCTATCAAAATCCAAGCAATAATTTGTTATAATAAAACGTTGGTCCTGAATAATTAACAAGGAAATTAGAAGTTTCCTTCAATTTCTTCGAATGTTTTAACATTCAATTCCTTTTATATCTTCCAGTCTTTAAATTTTCAATCTGGAAACAGATGAATACAATTGAAATAGTAGGAGTGATAGTTTCTAATTTTTTCAAATCGTGTAACGACACTTTTGCAGAAACTTTTGTTAAATCTGAGTAAAGCCAAATTTCAAAAACCAGTATATTACTCCCGAGCTCGCAATTATGAGGATGACAAGGCAGAATGAACCACGTCGTCTTTTAACCGGCTCGTTCGGTAAAACTGCAAAAAGCATGGTTTTAACTCTTCTGGCTAATGCCAGCTATCCAACCGCAAGAACACTCGAGATACATTATCCCATCTTCGTGCATTCCCTCGCGCGGCTCGTTTAAATAAACAAAAATCGAATTTCCCGTAACAGCAGCTCAATCCTTATCGTTCTTGCGTTTTTTGTGATCAAGCTTCTTTATCTTCTCATCAACCTTTTCGAAAATCGTAATTTTGGTAACTTTCATCGTGTAATTTTGTTGCTTATTGGATTTTATTCGTTAATGAAAGAGAGAGAGAGAGAGAGAGAGACAGAGAGAATTAATTCTACGTTCGGAGTTAAAAATCGGGAGAATTCAAAATTGAGAGATTCAAAATTATACTCCGATGCTGAAATATTTAAAATTCTGGCTAGGAGAGACAGTTAATTCTACGTTCGGACTTAAAAATCGGGAGAATTCAAAATTGAGAGATTCAAAATTATACTCTGATGCTGAAATATTTAAAATTCTGGCTAAGAGAGATAGTTAATTCTACGTTCGGAGTTAAAAATCGGGAGAATTCAAAATTGAGAGATTCAAAATTATACTCTGATGCTGAAATATTTAAAATTCTGGCTAAGAGAGATAGTTAATTCTACGTTCGGAGTTAAAAATCGGGAGAATTCAAAATTGAGAGATTCAAAATTATACTCTGATGCTGAAATATTTAAAATTCTGGCTAAGAGAGAGAGAGTTAATTCTACGTTCGGAGTTAAAAATCGGGAGAATTCAAAATTGAGAGATTCAAAATATACTCTGATGCAGAAATATTTAAAATTCTGGCTAAGAGAGAGAATTAATTCTACGTTCGGAGTTAAAAATCGGGAGAATTCAAAATTGAGCGATTCAAAATTATACTCCGACGCTGAAATATTCAAAATTCTGGCTAAGCGAACGCGCTTGAAAAACTTCTTCTTCGAAAAATTCAAATTACAGTAGCCCTTCTCAATGTTTGAATCGCATGAAGTAACACTGACACGGGGAATCCGCGAACACGCGAAACGGATTTTCAATTACGCTCGCCACCTAGCCAGCAAGAATAATACTGCGTCTGGTTCACGTACGAGTTACTGTGTATAGAGTGCCGCGGCACATAAGCGGCCGATGCCTATCGCACGATCGGCGTATCATTAAACTAAAGATCGATTAGCATAAATCAGCGTGATATTAGCGCGCGCGTATCGTAATTCGGAGGAGTGAATGTTGCCTTCGTTCGCGGTGGTCGAACCGACGCGACAACGCGACGTTTAACATTTCCATGCTAAATAAGTAAGTAAACGCGCGGGGGATTTTTATTTGAGCCGCGGCTGATACCGGCGATGAGATTTAATAGTTTCGTGTGGCCGAACGAATGTTGCTTTTACTCGAAAGTTAGTTGAAATCGAAGTAAATAATTTGGCAAATTTATGACGCTCGACGCGGGGTTTCGGATGCTGAATAAATAAGTACACGTTTCGGTAAACTTCGTTCGAGCGAAATGGTTTCATCGCTTTTGATAAACTTCGGTCAAATAAATATAATTATTCAGGTAGATTTTAACGTTGAATCAATTTGCGTGTATATATCGACGATGATGAAGAGTGTAAATGTTAATTTTTCATCTAAAATTTCAAATGATCTCTTTTACACAACGATTATACCGTTATTACATTAATAAATACCTATAATTACATTAATAAATTGATGTCATTAATAAGTTTATAGCGTAGATCGTACAAAATACGAACGAGTATTTGCAATTTTAGGATTTTAGGATTTAGGTCAGCCAGGGACAGCCGTCTAATACTCAACTCGTGGAACACGTTAAAATCTACTTAAACTTCCAAACTGTAAAATTTATATCTCTTGTCGCAATACGCAGCCTGCGTCAACTAACGATATTATAACGATATTAACGAGTTAACGAGTCATAAATTTCCACGGAGATAGAGATCTTTTTTATTTTTTTCTTTTACAATTTTACGATTTTTTTTTACAAATTGACTGGGATAATCGGTTAATTTACGCGGTATGTTGGAATCTAACTATTTGTTTTATCATCGGACGTATTATCGTGATGCAAGAGGATTGATCGGTAACAATAATTTGCGAGAGTCGGCGGCTTACGATTTTATTTCTTTATAATAATATTAGTGGAATTATGCAAGAACGCGGTGAACTGGCGTTGAATTTTCGATTGGCGGAGAGAGAGAGAGAAAGAGAGAGAAAGAGAGGCTGGGGAGGAGAGGCTTAATGAGCCGGTAATCCAAGGAGAGAGGCGATAAAACAGCGACGATCACGGCGGATTATCCGCGGCGGTACCGATTTCGCAAATAAAAATGAACGCGAGCGCGTATATTTACGTTTCGCAATTATTTCGCAACGTTCCAACAGCAGGGAAGTAACGTTAACCTCATCTCTTCGATAAGTTTCGAAAGATTCGGTCTTTGAATTGTGATTCCTCGTTTCCAGATTGGAAAGAGGAATTCCCGCTGTGTCTTAATATTATGAACCACGTAGTAGTAATATTATGAATCCTCTTCTTTCTTGTGAGTAAGCTAAAAAGTTTGAAAGCGCAGAAAAGCCTGCAAAAAATAGATAAAATATTCAAAGTGTAGCTCCTTGCGATATTTAATAAGTCAAATAATCTTCGTCTCTTTCTCCTAGATTTCACTTCTTTTTAATCATCTTCGTAAAATTTGCACAAACATCCGCAGTTTCATTATTGTACGTCGATATTAAGAGAACGAGAAATATGCTGCATTTCTTCTTGCATAATGCCTGACGATATAAAATTTAGTTAACTTCTTTCGGATGCAATTCTTGCTACTTTCAATAACTACTTCAACAATGAATGTTCCTTATTCGTACCTTAGTTTTTTACTTATATGTATATAACATAATACGTATATGTATTATGTTATAACAAAAGGAATTTTTTGAACTTACAGCACTTGAGGCACAGCCACCTTCAACGATGGTTACACTTTGTTAAACGTTACGCATGCAAGAGATAAAAGACAGAGAAGAAGGAAGAGACAAAAGGCAGGAAAGAAAAAAAAAAAAAAAAGAGAGGAGATAAGAAGGAAAACAAGAGGGGATTAGAATGACGAAATTACCTTGCATACGAGTTCCGTGTCCCAAGGCAGGATAGAAACGAGGTCTACCACTTCGCAGGACGCCCCGAGCTCCTCCTGGACGAGATCGGCCACCTCCAACAGTATATGCACCTGAGTACCCCAGCCAACGAGTGTCACCGCGTCACCTACGTGCAAATACACAGACCTGTAACACCGCTTGCCTCGTTTCGTCTTACGTCTCTCGCAATTACTCGTCATCTTTCCACTGAAAGTTACTCTGTGCGCGCAGTATCTCACCGAGTGTATTGTTTCAGCAGATCGGTCGTCGCATTTTAATATCCATCGAATAATGGGAGAATGATCGCTATCGATGAATATTATACGAGATATAATTTAACCCTTGGATTGATTAAATGTTATTTGTCAGTATACATTTTATGAACCAAGTGATAAATTTTGAAAAATTGTTTTATTTGTAAAAACTCGAACAATTTCGATATACTTAATTTTATGGATCTCGCAAAGATTCGATAACAAGTTCGTTCTCCAATATAAACTCCCCGGAGAAACTCGATTCGTTTAAATAATTCATAGCCAAAAGCTTCTCGTAATAATTCACGCAATACAGCAGTAAACGCGTTATGTGTACGAACCAATAACCGTTCATTATCGATCATTCGCGCCCGAATTAGCAGTTTACGAGCGTGTAACGAATTATTTATACGATCAATTAGTCGTCGACGATATGTATATAACGACGCGAACGCCGTAAATTCCCCGGTCGCGCTCGTGAAAGTTCCATCTTGATCGATCGTCGATCGATTTTAGCCTCGGATGTACGAGAAAGGAATGGTGATTTGCGTTGCGCGCGTTGAACGATTACGTGCAATCCGCGCGCGACATTGTTACGCAGTCGCGAGGTGAAACTTATCCAGAGAAGAAGACTCACGATCGGTTCTTCCTGGATTCCTACCTTCTCTCACAATCGGTTCTTCCTGTATTCCTACCTTCTCTCACAATCTCAGCCTTGCCAATCTCTATCTTATAATGAGCTGTCGGCACGTCGTCGATCGCTGTACGGTACAATATTTTCGGCTCGAACATGATGCAGGGATCCGGTTCCTCTATACAGCTCAACAAAAGACCTTTCGCCTGTTTCGCTCCGCGGGGCATAACGATCTGAAAAGGACGTTCAGTCACATTTCATTACTCTCCGTGTCGGCCGTGCACATGCAATCGGCGATTACGTCCTGGAATTCGGAGAAGAGCGACGTTATCCTGTTCGAAAGTCCCCCGATATCGGAAATAACGCGTACAAGAAATGTGTGATTTTCATCATTTTTTTTTCTTTCTCAGCTATGCAAGACGAGTCTTTGGTCTTGAGTTTGAGGGCAAGGATATAGGTGATGGCTGAGTAAGTATGTACTGTAGTCGGTGATTACCTGGAGGAGAGCGACTTTATCCTGTTTGAAACTCAACGTCGAGATAATGTGTAAGGAAAGTCAAGGAAATTCGAATACTTAAAAATGGGGGAACTACGAAAGATGAATAATAGCATTTAAAGTTTGAGAAGTTAGCTTAGAATTTGGGAATTGAAGAATTCGAAATTTAATATCTGAAAATTAAGAGAACACGAAATTTGGAAACTGAATAGTTCAAGCTATAAAATATAGGATTTGAAAATTGAGAAATTTCTTCAATTTGAAAATTCTAATCTCCTATGATCTAAGGTTTAAAAACGAAACAGTTTGTAAATGTAAAATGTAAAAATAAAATATTCCAAGTTTGACGACAGTGTCTCTAGAAAATTAATATTCCCTCTTTTCAAGTTCCTTCAGTCTGTATCCTGATGATACATCGGGATTTTAATCAGCACTCCGTAAACAATCGTAATAAAAATCCGAAGGACTAAAGTGAAAGAATCGAATAATTATGGGCCATGTTGTACAATCCGTTTTCCTTGGAAATGTCCATCAAACTGTCCCTTTCACTAAACACATATTAACACACGAAACTTCTATTCACCAAATTAATTAAAATTGACCTGCACATCATTTATATAAATTTTTATCCAAAATATGTATTTTAAAATATATATGTTCACATTACCAAGAAGAAAATTTCCTACATTTTCTCCAAATTTTCCCAAAAATAGTCCATCTACCGTAAAAAAATACCTCATTAAATTTTACTAGTTTCAATAACTCCAAAATAACGCAAGAAAGTAAAGAAATATCGCGTGTCTCGGAAGAAGTACGAGGCAACCGTGCACTTTAATCAATGAAATTCAAAATCCGATAAAAAATATTATAAAATATTATGAAACACGTGAGAAATAAGATATATTTAGTGATTCGAAAACTTCGAAAGAAACTAAAGAGAGAATTCATTACATTTTAAGAACAAAAAGTTTTTCGAAAAAGGAAGAAACAGTTTTCCTTGAATCTCGCCTACGAACTCGCATATAACTAATAGCATATGCTGGCATCATACAAATGTTTCGTTATGTTCGTTTCTATGGTTGGTATATTATGTCAATGTGCACGACGAAGAGCGTGTGATCTCTCGGCTTCAGGAAATGTCGACGTGATGTTGCGCACCGCTGTTCATGTAATCGAGATGTATAGTGTCGGTAGCGGCACGTTGGTGTACGAGGAAAACTTTCCTCATGCATACGTAGAGTACATGTGTCGTGCAATATTCATGGAATCTCTTCCAGAAAGTTAAGAGCCAGCGGCTATAGAACCAACGCGAAGTCGTCGATGAAGGATATATCCTTGAGTATAGAAATCCGTTCTGGATGCTCGTTCAACTTTTTATAGCGTTTCTATTCACTCGTGACCGATTTGTTTCGCGATCGTTCAATCTTGAATTCAATAAATAGCCGACGATTAAATTTGCGAAATGCTCGCGTTGCGAATTAAAAGCGAAACGTTTTGGTAAAAAGAGAAATACAGTTACTGCCTGAATGATTGATTCTGTCTGATTGATCTATTGCAGGCCTATCGACCTGGCGACTCCATGGCCAACCGTATCTGCGAGCGATAGGGGAAGCGATGGGCCTCCCATATCTACTTTATCCTTGTTTCCTTCTCCTCCGAACGTTGCACAAGCCACACACCATCACCCGCTTTTTCTAACAAAAATTAAAAAATCTCTTTACATCGACTTTCTTAAATAAAATATGATAAAGTAATGCAAGAACATGTAATAATAATTACCTAATTGTTCTAGTCATAAATTATGGATTGTGAGAAAGCATCGTTGCTAATACATGTATGATTAGTAAAAGTATTTTTATTAGAAAAGTTATTTTAGTAGAAAAGTATTTTCCATAAATTGGCAAAGTTAGAAAATTAAACAAATAATAGTGGTTAATCTAGACGGAGAAACGGATTCTACGTGAATAGAAGAATCGATTAGGACTTGGAAGAAAAGAAGAAAGGGAAAATAACGTACAGCTTGCACAGAAAGAGGAACAAGTTCGAGTGGCCTGATATACTGTATGAATAGATAGTTTCGATGCATAATTGGGTATAGTAGAAACATCTGTCGGAGAATAAGAGAAGTTCATTATCGACGGAATGTAAATAACTATTTTATCAACGATGATTTTGTTATCGACTCAACGGTAACAAAATTAATGGAAGAATGCAACTATGAATTTACAAATAATTATTACAGACGAAATATGGAATTCTATACTTTTATAATACTGGCGTCATTATGATCAAATTTAATCTTTTATTCAATAATTTTTCGTCATTTCAGATTTATGAATACATACTAGAATTTTTTATATGTTTTAAAACATTTATTATTATAAACATTATAATTCGTAAACTAATTGGATCCCCATTGTCAGATTTACATACCAAGTGGCATACATCTTTTTCTACTGCAACATACGCCACATCTTATTCTTTTCTCTTTTTTTAGATAATGCGATATCATTTCTATATTATAGATAAATCATCTCTGTTAATTAAACTTTATTGTACCAACATGCATTCCGAATCATCACGTGAAATTGATGAAAAACTAGATATCAGCTATCAGCGTATCAACTTTTGAGATATAGAATAATAAGATACTATTTGATTTATCAATGCTAGACATATGTCTTTTATAATCTACAGTTGTAGAAGTTTTTTCCCCATTTTTATAATACCTCAAACAAATTGTCGTCACTTTCAACAGCACTATAAACTGAAGCTGAAGAGCTGTTCATCTCTCCGCAATTCGAGATCGCAAAATTATCAGGGATATCTTCGATATTTTCATCAATAGAAAATGTACATACCTCTGTTCTTCATAGATGAAACAGGTATATCAATATCACATTATATCTTTTTGATGACTAGAATATATTACACGTCTATTTTGATGAAACTGAGATACCAATATTATATTCCTTATCTTTATTACTACCGCCAGAATATCTCACACTTCTGGTTTTCACCAAGCGTCTCTGGCGAACATTTTACATTCTGTATAGAGATACGGTTTTATAAAAGATTATATATTGGTTATATATATTATTGTAAGATTATATATTTACATGCACTATAAGATCGTATATTGCAAAAACATGCATATATTGTATATCTCTAAATACTTACATCATTATTAAATATTTTCGCGTTTATTTTATTGCATAATTGTATAACAAAATGCTGTAAACCAATTAAAATGTTAATACGATATACTACTGGACAAACACTATTTATTTATTTACTTACTGTTGATAAAAACAGTAACTTCATTTCTTTATACGATAATAAAACATTTTTCACATACTTAATACCATACTCTTTGAAGAAATTGGTGTACTTTCTGAAGAAACTTGGATACACACGTAACATGCTTGGTAACGAGCGTGTTAATGAAAACAAAGTGAAAAAGAGATTCCAGAACCACCAAAATAATACCAATTACCTCGTTTGTAATACCAACATAAATTAGATGCTGCCCACATATCCTATCTATGTCTTAATTTGTATTAATAACAAAAATGATATGGATATTGTATAAATTATTACGTCTTTTGTTATATTCTATTGTTTTTAACATTAATATCAATTAATTTGTAATAATTAATAAACTATGAATTAATAAATCATTTTTACAATTAAATTTGCCACTTTAAATTGACAACTTTTTTCAGCCAATCAGCGTCATTATTCTTTTTCTAACGATATGAACCCCGTAGCAATGTAGTTGCGCGCGGAATCTTTAGAGTGAAACACAGTTGCATCGCTCGTCCCGATTTTACATAATTTTAACTAAATTTTTAGGAGCCCCAGTGAAATATTTTATTCCAAACGCTTCATTTACACGTCAATAAATTGTATATATTCGTGTATACTTGAAATAGTTACTATATAGCGATATAAGGTATGAATTTATATTTGATTTCCTTTTCCACTTTTTGCTCGCCATTGTTTTCATACATTGAACATATTTATAAAGTTAAATGAGTATATTAATGTTGTGCAAATGAACTAGAGTATATTAGATACTGGTTTTCCTTACTACTATCGCGATGCTATAATTACAGTCAAAGCATTTTCTTAAATCAATAAATACAACAGAATAAATAAATACATATATACCATAATGATGTGTCCACTTTGAATAAACTAATATGTCCGCCATGATCCCTTTTCCATTTTAATCAAATTCATATTCATATCGTTTATTACATTAAACGAGTTTTGATGTAATAAATGAGTACAAATTTGGTTATAATTGGAAGGGGAGAAGAGGGGACATTCTTTAGTTTGGTCTAAACACAACATGATTCAAACAAAATAACGAAACATACCGTTCTAATCTATCAAATTATTATCCTAACTTATTTATCAAAGCATTAATTTGCCAAATAATTTGCATCTACTGTAATTACAATTTAATGCATCACGCCAAATAGCAAGAAAAAGCTCGTTTCATTCGTACAATATTAACGCATTTACCTTCAATCCTGGTGTATGAGCGAAATAAGCTTCTGGGCTTTGGGAATGGTAGAGCCCGCCGTGACCGACAGCGCCACATGGTGTCCGAACCGTTAATTTACCGCATTCGAATTCTCCTCCGCTTCGATATCTCAATTTTGCTGCTTCGTTCACCAACTACAAATAAAATAATTGAAATCGGACCATTGATTAACTTATCTTTAGTCAATATTTTTGATAATGTACATCTAAACGATAGTACCTGGTCGAAAGCGGGAAATATGTAATCGGCAAATTGAATTTCTGCGATCGCTGTCACACCAGAGATGGCTAAACCGATCCCAAAACCAGCGATTCCTTGTTCGCAAAGTGGCGTATTAAAAACTCGATCTTTGCCGAATTCTTTTTGTAGATTCATCGTGCAGCGAAATACTCCTCCGAATGCGACGTCTTCGCCGAAAATCACTAGTATGTAGAAAAATTATTGATGTAATAACATTTTATTATTATTTCGTTTATCATTATTATATATTTTCTGTTATTATTTTAATTGCATTGCATATTACAGCACATTAGCGATTAAATAAAATAAAGAAATTAATTTCTTTATATTTGAAAACTATAGCTTTGTAATATTTCATAATTTTTTATAGCAATTAACAATAACAATGTGCTCTGTAAATAACTCCATGTTTAGAGCAAGAAAATTTTTTAATACTTCATTACCTGCGTCAGGATCCTTGTTCAATGCAAGTCGAAGTCCATTGTTTATTGCTTGATACATATTCATCTTTTCAGTATCACCTAAAATGTGATTTTATTATGAAGCAATTATGTGTATCATTTGCATATTATTGCATTTTAACTGACATATTTTTTCATTCAAAACGTAATGTTTTTCATTTATATAAAATTTTGATATAAAAAACATGATTCTTTTCACGTCTATTTATTTATCTTATCATTCTGGCGAGAAAACATTACATAGAATTTAATATACGATTATCGTAATTACTATTAAATTTCAGCAATTTCATCAGTGATATAGAAGCATTTCACAAACATGTATTGTCATCGTACATGGATATTATTAAACACTATTTTTGTTCAATTTTCATTATGCAATTTCCCTTTATAATGTTTAAAATTCGAATATGTTGTTTCAAATTCAACAATTAATAAAAGCGTATTATTAAAAAATTATTTCTATTAAAAAATTTTTCATTTAGTCATCGATGAAAATACTATATATTATTATTCACTATATTCAATATTTTTAATCAATAGATGGTAGAAAAATCGCAATATAAAAGGGATGTTGTATACTCACCAGGGATATTGTTGTTCTTATCGGCATAATATGTGAATTGTATCCACCTGACATGCTTGCGTAACACTGATCTTTTCGTAGAATTAAAAACTAGAGACGTGTTCAATAATCGCGTGGATAATTTACTAAGTATCATCGTGACGACCGAAAGAGCACAACAACAGTGGACGCACTTTAGTCGGTTCACTGTCATTTACATACAACATTGCTTTTTAAAACTGGAACCCCCATACTTTCTCGAATAAGAATTTAGTAAACAGCCTTGCGTCAGCTACACACACTACTTATATATCTTTGACGTTTATATATACAGGTCATGTGACATTAGTTAAAGTAGTATTCGATCTTACATATTATATGTTTCCGAGTTGCATATCTACTATACTATTTCTCTTCTATGAACATAGAGAAGCATTGTATGTATTAGAAGCTATACTACAGGCGAGATAAATGGATGTAATTGGATAGTATATATACTATATAAAAAATTATCGTATGGGACTAGTTTTCTTCTACATTTAGATTTCTACATTTAGATTTCTTCTACATTTAGATTTTTCTTTTTTGACTATTTTCTTTAGTAAGTTAATAATAGGATTAAATAAGAATATGGACCGTTATCTTGTTTGTGAAGAATGGTGTTTGATAGTGTCTTGTTGGTCATAATAATAATGTGTAATATCGGTATTGTAATCATTTGTAAACAGTTGTTTAAATTATTATGCATATTTATTAATTATTAATTCAAACTTTCAGAAATTGAGAAGTATTTTTATATGTATGAATTTTTTATATAAAGATTGGACGTTGTAGAGTAAAGATTTTAATATGCAAATTAAATTTGGATTAAAATTATGTGAATTAAAATTGGTTAATTTAAATACGTATATGCGGAGAAAATATCATAGATTGATATGATTTATAAATCATATATAATGAAAAGTATTTAAAATACGATTTGGATATTATAAAATATTTCAAATAAAATTTTCATCAAACGAAGAATCAAAAAAAAAAAAAAATTTGTAATTTTGTATAAAAATTTTTAGTTACAATTCCAACCGCTGTAAATATTGTGATCTTCTTTATTGTGCTCAGTCGGTAACACTGGAAGTGACACTGAAATAACATTAGATGGCGAGAATGACATTAGCGAGAATTGGCATTATGAATTGTAATTAAAACTTAAAATTTATATTCATATAGTGCAAAAATTTTTATTTACAATTTATTAAATTTTTCTTTCAATTTCTAATTTCTTATTTTTTCAGGATTGCTAAACTGTAATCCTATATTACAGTTTTTTTAAACCAGGAATAGAAAACTAGATATTACAATAGAAAACTTTGTTAAAATGAAATTAATATTATTATAAATATTATGTATAAAGTATATGTTGCATTCACTGTTCGAAATATTCGCGTAAGATATTCGAAATATATATTCTCGAATATCCTCTTTATTATTTTATTCGTTCTTACTTGAACTATCCCCCCCCCCCCCAGCCACTCAAATTAGTTCGTAATTTTTACACTGCGCTAGGATCAGTTCATTGTCTAATATGGTTGTGTGAAAATGTATCTCTCTGTCGTGAAATTTATTAACCGTGTAATATTTTCACTATCATCCTGCATTGTTTATATATACGCTATCATTAATCTCCTTTACTTAATGTATGTTTTTAATCTATAATTTATCGAATATTATTATAATTCATAGTTAAATTATCTCTTTTATTTTGATTGTCACATTCAGTGATAGTTTGTATTACGAACTTCCAAAGTGGTATTTACAAACGGTATTTAGATTATTACTTTATTCTTGTATAATTTGTTTCTCTTATACATTTATTTGAAGATTTTGATTTTCTTTTGCACAGATTACTGGTTGATTGCGGAAGAAACTTTGGAATGTCATGATGATTAACGACAAATTTGATATCTTTTCGTGCAGTGGTAATGGTAATGGTAACATTTGATTTATTTTGATGAAGATAGATACATTTATGCACTTAGTTTCTCATTTTATTGAATAATTGATAACATTTATTTGATATTCATTTCAATCTTAACAAATAATTTTCGGAACGGGACGCTAACGGTTTGAATGTGTTCTGCGCATCGCGTTGTTTGAATACTGCGCAGACAATAAAAGTGCGCCATATTTAACTTGTTTAAAGTATATTTGATCTCTAGTGGTAGACATAAAAGTATAATTTTTAAAAATCAATTATGTTATGAAATGTTCATAAAATGTTCATATTTGACAATATTATGAAATATTTTTGGATTAATGGGTTAATGGGGGTTAATGGGTAGTAATATTTTAAATATATTAATGAAATACTTCATAATTTTAATATGATAATTCTTGATTGATAATTTTGGAAAAGCAGTATTTTCTTTAAGCAAACACTCTATTTCCTACTATATGATAAAATTTTTCTTTCAGAGAATTTTTCTAACCGTGCGCAATGCGGTTGGTAGAGTCAGTGTTTGTTCCGTCGTATAATTTTCAATATTTCTTAGAGCACAATAGAGCTCTGAATTAAATTTAGTTGTAATCATTAATGAATTAAATTTAATTATAATTATTATACGCGAAATTAGAGTCAGTGAGTTCGCCGATTATCACTCAAGCGGACGCGTCTTTTATTTATTTATTTTTTTTCTTTTTCTTTTAGTCTTTTATTTATTTATTTTTTTTCTTTTTCTTAAATATTCGCTTTCGGTAGTGAAATCGCAAATCTCGCAAAAGGACACAGTTCACCCTGGAATTCAAAAATGTAAGTATCTTTTATATATTATATTTCAATTCATTTTATTCTTGTTGTGTATTCATAAGAATACATTATAATGTTACATGATTTATTACAGATTCTTCACAACTTCTTCCTGATTCTTGAAAAGAATATAATGGTGCATCAAAAGCCAAGAATGTAAATAACTCTATTTTAGTTCTTATATTTCAATTAATTCTATACTTTGTATTTTACATAAATTATTATTAAGTAAAAAAAAGAATTTAATTGAAAATTTAACAAGTTTAAGTTTTTGATTTTTGAACTGAGTATTATTATTAATATTTTACGTTTAATAAAAATTATTAAATATTTTTTGTTATTTCAAATTTTTGAATTTACTACACTATATTTAACAACAGAATAAATTATAATATTCTATATTTTGTTACAGATTTCTTTCATTCGACGGTTCTTATCTGATGATTCTTCATGATGACTTTTCCTAGACCGAAATAATGTCATGACAATGATCTTCACATCTAATTGTGAGTCGCATGCTTTTCTGTCCCTCTGGTCACTCAATCATGTCATAGGACGAAAGGTCTGAATCGACACGAGTGACTAGTTGTATTACGTAGAATTTTTGACGAGCATAGTGACCACAGCTATTTAGTCGCGAGTAGTAACATTTTCTTGTCTGTGTTTTATTTATTAGTTCAGGATAGGTTTTCTTGTACATCGCGTTTTTTAAAGTTAATGGTATCATCTAACTTCATTTCTATGAATATGAGAATTTTAATTGGAGTTATACTACTATTGATGATAATTATAGTTGTTACAATTATGAATAATATTTAATTTCATTATATTTTTATAAATAATATTTAATCCTCATATTTGAATTCTAAATTCAATATAACTTTAATACAACTTTATGAAATTGTTAAAGCTTAATTTTATTCATCTAGAAATGTATCAAACTTTATGTGCAAGAAGACACTTCGCGACAGGTAGATTTCAGAATCAAAGCTATTGTTTTGAATGTTTCTTTTGTTTTCGAAAATAAGTTTTGATAAAGGAATCACCTGAAGAAGATATTTCTATTAAATTTCACTTAGAATATTAAACATGATATTATTTGCATTGAATATTCTTGTTTCAATAAGTATGTATATTTATTGCTGATTTTATTTACTCAAGTACAGCATTTCAGTAATTTATTAAATTTTTAAAGTAAATTATGAAGTATAGTTATTGAAAATTGAAATAAAATGAAAGAATACAATTTCTTTAATCCGTTATAGAATTGACATAGAGTAAATATATTAATTCTCTTTTTAGCTCAGGATTTTCAGGTTTAACCCCTTCCATATTCATTGCCAGGACCTCATTCACGTGCCCAGGTGCTACTTGGGTGAGAGAAAGGCAATGAATATGATGACCATAGTTTATAAGTTTAATAATTTTTCAGCGACTGACGATGCGTTAGTGCATCGTGCACGACGCATTTTTCGCATGTGTGTATGTGGTTAGGATGTGGAATTGCGTCGGTTGTGCTATTATTTCAAGTAACATAAATATAATAATTCTCAACTTTGTACTATTTATTTCAAATATTATGAATATTTATACAATATGATCATGAACATTTAATTAAAATTGACATTGAAATATATCGTAGTCTAATAGAAATATATGATATTTTTATCACATTTCACGCAATGGTCGCTAGCCTTCGTCAGTCGATTTCAGGAAAATGGTACGTAAATTAGAGTGTGAATGTTGTGTGCGACACTCGGGTGTCGGAGGCGTCCCGGGACGTTCTCTCTAGTTTAGGTTTGCGCCCGGGTGTATGTGTGAAAACCGTGGAGTGAGTGTGTTGGTGTGCCTGTCTTTTGCCACTTTTTAAATATAGGACGGCTGAATAGGATAGGTAGCTTACATTCTGGTATGTGTGCTTTAATTATAAGTAGGTAGGGCCGGGCAGGTTGGCACAGTCTCTGGTCGCGTGCACTCTCGCGTGTCTAACCTGTTTCTGGAAATGCAATTTGGGAAATCGAAGATTCGGCTGGCACGAGTGGAGCATGCCTCGTCGCTGGCTTTATCCATCGATTTTTCGAATTTCGCGGTCGTGGACGCGTGATGGATTTCGAATCGAACGTTCCCGCTCGAGATTTTACGCTTCAATTAGCTTCGATATTTTGTCTTTTTTTTTGTCGGTTCAGACAATCTCGAGCCTAGATGTAAGTTTCAGCGGGCATTGCGCTCGAAGAAAGAACAGGCTATAAGTCGAAGAGGCCCGGCAAATTGCCATAGAAGAGGGCAACTACTAATGGCTTTTCATCTTCTGGACGGGATATCCATCCAGAGCATGGATAGTCATTCTTGTTACTACTTTGTCACTATGCTCGCTTTTAGTATTTGTAGTATGTAGTAGTAGTATCTTTCTTCTCTCCTTTTTTTTTTTTTTGCTAATATATCGGCCCCCTCCACCATTATTGGACGAATATATTTATAATTGTTATAATATATTAATATATAGTTATTAATTATTATAATATATATAATTGATATATACTTTGTTTGTGCTTGTGAGCAAGCAACGCATAGAGTACAGTCTTATGCTAGTAGATGTCGCATAAATCAGTTTATATGCGAATAAATCAATTTATATTATGTGAAGGCCACAGACTTTCATATTAACGACACTGCTGTGTAACTTGAAAGTTACAGAATAATTGTACAATAATTCGTAGCCTTATCCGCGCATTCTATATCAAAGACACTTGTAGATACGAAATCTACATAAGATGCATGATCTGTTTGTACACCTCTGTATACAATTGTACTTTTAACCAGTATTAATGTTACATTCTTATTATCATGATATCTCGTCTGTATTTTCGTATTCGTGCATTTGCGTTGATACAAAATACATATGTATTTCGACAAAGTTATATCTTTCTCAGCTCTTCGTTAGATGTCACGACGAGCGTTCAAAACATAGTTTCCATAGCAACCGTTGGCAAGCGTCATTCGTTAAACAAGTTGATTCAAGTAGAAATTGTGAGATTGGTAGTGTTGGTTATATTGGTTATATTGGTTATATTGCTATCGTAAAAAAAAAAAAAAAATGGGTCGTACTGACTGGGATCGCATATTATCGGTGGATCCGTCATCATTAACCGACGATGATATGGAGGATCTTTATCCTGCTATGATAAGTTGCGACGTTGATGAGATCAGTGATATTCATAACCTACGAATTTTGATGAAATTGTCCCAAGAAGTACTGCAATACAAGGACACTCAAGTAAAAATAATCATTTAACATTTTCACTTTGCATAAACTATTTTCTTTTTTTCTTTCTATGGAATATGTGATCTTTATTCAATGAGAGACAGCACTCTTTCCTACTCTTCTACAATCATATAGTTCCTGTTTAGACTTGAATTAGCCATCATTTAGGTCACTAATTAGCGTCTTAATGTATTCTGAAATTTATTTCCATAATAGGTAGAGTCGCTACTTTTAGAATGTGGCGAATTAAAACAGACTATCTCCTCTTTGAAACGTAAGCCTGCTAAGCGTAAAAAGGAAGGTAAAATTAGTTGAAATAACGCTTAAATCAAATAGTGTTTTAATTCGCTGTTGTAGTCAATATTATAAAAATGTGTTTCGTTTTATATGATAGAGTGGGATACTTCTGATTCGAAACAGGGAACCACTGATTTATCTAAAGTAAGTTTCCCTTGAAGCACAGAGATATCTTTTACGAAACTTCTTATAAAACAGAGTCCATGATTGTTTTTCTTTTTTCTTTTTTATTTTAAGCACGTAGACGTGTCCGAAAGTACCGATCACGACGATGCTTTGCAAGGGAAAAATAAAAAAATTAAAATTCTCATGACGGAATTAGAGGTGAGTCTCAAATTCAGGTTCTTCGAATTTTCTCTCTCATGTATTCCTGTAATTCTATATAGACATTGGAAAGGGACAATTTAGTTTTAAAAGAACGATTGACAACGTTAACTCAAGAAATGGAGGACGCGACATATAAAATGAACGAAATGACTGGGCAACTGAATTCTGTGCAAATCAAGTCCATAGAATACAAAGGTCGTCCAACTGAAATCAAAATTGTTTGATTTCGTCCATGGTCGCGAACTGAAAGAACGTATTTTTTGTTTTTTTCCAGAAAGAGTATCCGACTTAGAGCGTGAGAATGCAGCGTTAGTTACGCAGGTCGAGGAGGTAACAGCTCAGCAATTAGACAGAGATAAAGCGATAGATGAATTTAGCACAGCTATTGATTCTAGAATTAACGAATGGAAGGTATATAGATGTGTGCGACTATGTATAATCTGAGATTGTTTAATCTTTCAATTCTCGAGGTTCAGATTTTTCTGATTTTTGCTTCTGTTGATACAGAATGGTAATTTTTCCAAAACTACGTGTTCTTATTCTAACAAACGAAGCTGAGAACTATTTGCTATCAATTTATTTGAGTGTAGATAAAAAATTACAGTTGTCTATGAGAATTGAGGGGTTGAAAATGAAACTATAACATTTTTCCACGCGTTTTAACTCGTCCAAAATTTGTCAGGCGATATTGGACGAGAAAGACGAAGAAATACTACGATTAAGAGAACATTTGTCTCAGTCGCTCGTACAATCCGTGGCGTCTGTCAAAGAGCAAAATAAATCTGAAATCGTTCATTTGAACGAGCAAATAGATCATCGTGATAACATCATACTCGAGTTAAAAACAAAGTTGTCTGAAGCCACTGTTGAGATCAACGAGAGTGCAGCTCTGATAGAAAAATTAAAGACCGATGCACAAAAGTATGCGCGTAATCCTGTTAAAAAAAAAAAAAAAAAAAGAAAAAAACAAAGACATTTTGAATAATCGATGGGTTAAAATTTCACTGATGTTTCCTTTAGGATGAAAAAGATCGACAAAAAGAAAGAACAGAGGGATTTACTAAAAAAATTACAGGACGCGAACGAGCAGATATCTAATTTGCAAATCAAACTGAACGAGGCAGAGGAAGATGCTGAGTCGAAAAGTAGCAAAGTCAGTTTCTTGGATACATCTTAATATCTTAATATATTTGCATTAAATATAGGTATTTAGGCTGTGAGGCTTTTCAATATTCCGTGTTATTTAGTTGTGTGAAATAATAGCAACGTTGAAAAAGTACGAGGACGAAGATCAGGGTTTGACGGACGCGTTGAACGAAATAAAAGATCTGAAGAGCGAATTGGAGGGCAAGAGGGGACACGTAACAGATCTAATCAGTGTCGTGAACAAATTAGAAATGTTGAACTCGTATCAGGAAATGGAAATTATAACTCTTAGGTAATCGTACGTTCGATTTGCACCATTTCGAAACTTTATTGCACGTGTTAACGTGTTATATTAACGATGTACGGACTACAGAGAAAAATTAGGTATACCGGAAGACGAATCGGTCTCGATCGAGCACGCTTTAGCGAAACGTAGGGAGCAGGAAAAGAAATTGGAGGAGCTGCTGCAGCAAAATAAATCGTTGGTCGAGGAAAATTTAGAATTAAATTCAGACGTAAGAATCAATGAGACGCTTCTCGATTAAATTTAAGAGAAAGTTCTTTCCTCGGACCCTACTGAAACGGATCCTTTTGCTCGGATCACTTTAACATTCTAGATAAGGGTGTTGAAGTACAAACTGTCCAGGACATCGAAAGAAATAGATTTTTCGGACACCAGTGCGAACGTCACGACCGAATTTTTCCACTCGACCAAATTGACGGACACCACGCCCGCGTGGCACTCAAAATTGAATGTTTCCGAGCTGCAAGAGAATATGCAGCTGGTCATAGAGGAGAACGAAGCCCTTCGAACAGGGATGCACGAAATTTTGGACAGTATTCGGAACCAAGATGGTGAATTTTCGCTAGTTTTAATGGTACTTTCATGATGCACGAATTTTTCCTTCTATCCACGACAAAATTCTCTGTATTTTCTATCTCTTCGGTCACTCTCTTTAACAACACACGTAAACTACCGAACACACGTATACTAATCAAGTTTGTGAGTTGCATTATCGAGTCGAGAGAGATTCCTCGTTGCTTTTGCATTTTTCTGCGTGCAAGTTGAAATTAGGTTAATTTGTTTGATGTCTCAGGGAGAAGTACCGTGGAAATACAGTCGAGCACGTTAGAGAGGTTGCTAGAGGCGTTAGATGTGAGACACTTGGCGGGCTGGTATCATCCTGCAATGAGATTGCAGGAGCATTTGAACGTGGTGCAGGGCAGCAATAGCGAATTGCGTGGCCAGCTCAAACAGTTGAGGTATTTTCGTAGAAACGTTGCTACTTCTTGTAGTTCTTTCTCGTAGTAATAATTTCATCATTCCAAAATCTCAAAAAAAAAAACCTAAGAAACCTATTTGCAATTTCTTTACTTTTGCTTATTTCGTAAACTCGCGAGCAATTTTTGCGTGATTGTGTCTTGTTAACTTAACAAACAAAACCGATTACAAGGTCTGCGAATGATTGCAGAAAAGAGCTGCAAAGGAAGGATAACGTGTTGCACAAATTAGTTTTGAGCAAGCATAGCGAGCTCGAGAAAGTATACAGCGAAGACTCGGACAGCGAGAGATTGACCACGTATCTGGCCGAGATGAAAAATTTGCAAGAAGCTTATAGAAACGAGGCGGAAGAATGGGAGAGGCAAAAGACTGTCCTGATAGAGCAAAACGACGAGCTTAAAAACGAGACTGACAAATTGAAACTCAAGCTCGAGGTTTACGAACAGAGTGCAAAAATATTGGAAGATGGCGAGGACGAGATTCGAAAGGCATTCGCGGTTAAGACCAAAGAGTACGTGGAAGTTTCCGGCGAAGCTTTAATTGCGAACAGAAAGGTCGTTGCTCTTCAACGGTTGTTGAACAAAGAAACGAGGAAAGCTCACCAGGATCGAAAGGAGGCAATTAAGAACGAGAGCTACTTGAACAAGGCGTTGGCCGACACTACTAAACACAACAAGATTCTCGAGCGCGAGATGTCGATATTGCAGAGTAATCTGTTCAATTCCGTTAGCTCGACCACTCACAACGAGTTGAAGGAGAAGCACGAAGAACTGAGCATACGTTTTCGTAATCTGATGGAGAATAATCTGACGCTGGGGAACGACGATGCGATAGAGAGACTGAAGAGAGAGTTGGAATTAACGAAGCGAGAGAAAGATCAACTCGCGGAGCTTCTCTTGAAAAGAGAGACTCGCAGCGAGGGCGACGAAGATCTAACGAATTCGATGGAAAAACTGAAGGAAGCTCAGGCGAGGGAGCTTCTGGAGAAGCAACGGGCTGACCACGTGACCAGCCTGAGCGAAATTTTGCAGACTCAGTTGTCGAAATGCGAGGATAGTCTGAAGGAGGTAGCTGCTGCTAAGTCCGAACTGCAGGAAGAACTGATCGTTCTCCACAAAAGATTGTCCAAAGATCTGCAATTCGAGAAAGCTCAACAAATGGACGACAACAGGGTGCAAGAATTAAAGGACAACAACGCGACGCTTCAGATAGAGATAGAGAGTTTGAAGAAGCAGCTGCAGATTGTTCAGGAGGAAGCCAAGCAGCAATACTCGTTGAATTCGTTGAAAACGATGGAGCTGGACAATCTCAGGCATCACATATTAAATTTGCAAGCCGTCAGCGAGGACAAAGCCACGATCTCGAGACTGGACTTCGAGCTGGCGAGTAAACATTTGCTAGAGACGGAGTTGAACGCGCAGAAAGTTCGTTTGGAGAACGAGGTGTCGTGTCTGCAGGAGGAGCTCGATAAATCGAGGACGACTTGCGAGGGATTGCGCAGTTACGTACAGGATTGTCGGAAACAGTGCGACAATCGTTGCAGGTAACCAGGTTTCTTTTTCTTTTCAGGAAAATCTGGGGAGGAAATTTAATTTTCTCTAACGTCCAGTGCGTGCCACGAAATAAATTTGTTTGAATTCTTAAAATTTTTAATGATGGAACAAGTTACAATTTTGACTCTTATATCCGAAGCAGAAATTGGAATTAAGTTTTTGGAAGAAATTCTGAAATGTCTGACGCGTCGTTCGAGACTTGAAATTAAAATTTTAAACATAAAAGTCAGAAATAAGAATTGAACTGAATGTAGTACGAGCTTGTCGTTGGAGGAAGATTTGCTTCGGATCTCTTTGCTGTGAGAACGCGCGTTCTACTGATTGGGATCTTTTGCAGAATGTACATAGACGTCATAGGATTTCTGCAAAATCAGTATGCTGGTTCCACTTCGATCAGCGCTTTGGACAGAGTAATCTCGTTGTCGATGAGACTGAAGCACGAACGTCGGAATATCGATTCCGAGGTGAAAAAAGCGAAAGAGTATCACGAGAATGCTAAGCAGCAGCAGGAAATGCTAACCAACCGTTTACAAATCGTTGAAAGTTTGAAAGATATACTGGAACAGCAGATTGGAAGTAACAACGTCCACGATATCATGCAACAGTTCTCGGGATATTCGCAGTATACTATGAGTGTACGTGTTTTTATCAAATTGCTTAGTCGAATGTTCTTTTTGTTAATAGCCACGTATTCGGTGTAATATTTTTCGTGTTTGAAATGCACATTATTTTTCTTTTTCAATTTTTAAAAGTGGATTCGTAAAGATCCATAATTTTTAACATTGGATACTTCAGTACTGGTAACAACAGTACGGTATTCCTTCGAATATCTTTTTTAATAACCTTTTTGTATCCCTAATACCATCTAACCTCTCGATTTTGTTACTATTTTGTTACTATCGATTTCGTTTTCAATGTATTTTAAATAAGACCGTCTACTTTAAACGAACAATTAACGATTGATCAGGACTTTAAGTACAAACGAAAGATAACGCAGCTAGAGCAGGAGCTGCAAACCGCCAACAACAAATTTATGGAGTACGAATCGGTGATAGCCGAGATGGAGCACGAAATGATACAGATCCAAAAAGCGTGGAACAAGGGCCAGGATCACCAATCCAAAACCGGCACGCGTAACGTGGCTAGTCAAACGTCGCTAGAGAGCAGGCACGCATCTGCTCAAACAAGCCTCGTGGAAACGAAACCGAGAGAGATGCAAACTGATCCTTACACGTGTTGCTTGGACAAGAAGGAAACGAACGAAATCGAAGTTCAGACAACTGTTTCCAAAGGGAGTTCGGAAGATCGGATGGAAGAATCAGCGAAAGAGCGGAAAGAAATAGAAATGAGAGGAGAAAAGGAAGAAGCCACTTACTCCAAAGAGAAAGCCGAGGAGGAGGAAACGGTAGGAAAGAAAGAAGATCCAGTGCGTGGAGAAAGAATGGAGAAAGAGAAAGGAACGGTAGAAAGCGTGAATGATACGGAGAAAGAAGGGGAGGATCAGGAGGTTTCGCTGCTCCGAGAGCAGTTGAATCAAGCATTGAAGCTCGCCTCCGAGCGCTCCTCCGCTTTAATCAAGTGCGAATTGCAGTTAGCCGAGCATCAGGCGAAGGTGGACTCGTTGAACAAAGTGATAGACAGCAAGGAGCTAGAGCTGGCGCGGAAGGAGAAGCTGGTCGAGGAGTACAAGCTCTCGTCTCGCGTGCAAGCTTCCGCCGGTGATTGTAGCGAGAAGCTGGCGTTGAAGTCGACGATAAACAGCATGCAGAAGCTGCTCGGTCAGAAGGAGGAGACCATTGCCAGATATCAGAACCTACTGAAGGAAGACAGAGACGAGCACAGTAACGCTGCGGCTCGTCTGCAGGAAGAAATCCGAGGTTTGCGTGCTCGTATTCTGTCCATACAGAGCGAGACTACCAGGAGAAGCCAGCCACAGAGAGTGGACGATGGGAGAGACGAGCCGGAAAAGTTGATCGAGAAAGTAGGAGAAACTGGGACGAGGGTTGAGGATGTTGATAGAATAAGGAACATCGTTATGCAGGCGGAAGAGGTTGCCAGGTTGCAGGAAAAGGTCTCTACTTTGGAGGCAGATCTGAGTATTACTAGGGAATTGAGCGACCGGTGGCGTCGGCTGGCTGAAGAGAGGCTTAAACATATAGATCGTATGAGGGAAAGGTATTGTTGTGGGAAGAAAGGATATGACGAGGTCGTAAATTGGTGAAGAATTAAGATTTAGACACTTTCATTTTATTACTGGTGGAGGATTCAGTTAGAATTTTATTGAATTACTTCTTATTGGAGGATTGTAGTTGCTTTTAGGAAGGGGAGGATTAATTAATCCTTTACGTGCTCAGATTCACAAAAAAATTATGATTCACAAATTAAGAAAAATGCGAGATTATTGATAGATAAAAATTAGGATATCTCGTGTGTTTTTGCATTAGTTCTGCTATCTGTCCGATCATTCTCGATACAATTGAAAACGTTTCTCCTGGCTGGTTAAAATAGAAGTGAGACTGGAAAAATAAAACGTCGAATTTACAACCACGTTATGTCATTTCCATCTAATAACAAATAAATTGTTTGGTTATAAAAAGCAATTCTTCAGAATATTGAATCGTCGCTTCTCGTTAGATTGGAAGAACAACACAAGAGCGAACTGGAAAGTTATCTTGGAGAATTGACAAAATGGCAGTCAGAAGCAGATACGCTACGCAAGCAATTATGCGAAAATCGTATGTTGGTGACGAAAGGGAATATGTCTTTGATGAAAGAGATGCAGGAGAAGGACGATAAGATAAATCAGCTTAATTTCGCGTACCAGGAATTACAGGTATCATAGGTTCTTTGCGATCCTACGAACCTTAGCGAGATATATACAGTGATGAACAAAACTGAACACGTATACGGAGTTTTGATATTAATAATATTTTATTCTGTATTTGCACGTAGAATACAAAAAAGGCAAAATACGTATTGTTCTGTAGGATATTTCTATTTTCAAAAGAAAATTTTGTGATCTCGTTAGCATCTTTAAAAAATCTTAAAAAGATATCTTTAAAAAAAAAAAAGCGAATTCAGGAAAATGAAAACAGAAGCTTTACGTTTTAAAATAGGACTAAGTAGATTGTTGTACAATCTTTTTTAACAAAGTTACAACAGTTTAAGTTCTTCATCATAATGAGTTCAGTTATGCTCTTTGCTGTATAAGCCCATAGAAAATACAGGTCATTATTTTTGAATGAAGAACGAGGTCGAGTTAATGGAATCCGCGACTCGATCGCGACAAGCGATAACTCACGGCGAGTCCGAGTTGAAGATACACGAAATTACACCGAGTCAGGATAATTCGCAGCAACAGGATCATACAGACACTGTGAGGAAACAGTTGCAATCGTTGCTGGAAAAGGAGAAAATGTACAAGAATGAGATAACTGAGTTAAAGGAACAGCTTAGTCGCAGGTATTTTTTTTTTTTTTTTTTGCAACAGACAGGAAACAAAGAGAATAGAATTTTTTACATGACAGGGTAAATCAGGGTAAGTTCGGTCAATTGCAGTATTAATATCAGTTGTCAGAAATGAAAGTAAATAATTTTCACTTGTTGCAATATATTATTTACATATATTACATTATATTTATTTACATCGCTGGCATTATCTAAATTTACTAAAAATAACAAACCGTACAGCTTTTTTTTTAAAAAAAGTCTCGGACTTGCTCTATGTAATAAATTTGGTTTTCTTTGGACAAATACATATTTGGTGTCGGAATATAAAATTTAGGTAAAGATTTTTAATTGATGCTTAGAGTTCTCTGGATTGGAAAGTTCATAATTTTTCGAGGGAATGTCACAGATAATATAATCAAACTGTAGATTTTCATATATTTGTTTACACATAATGTACAAAAATATATAAAATAATCAAAATATAGTGACTGACATAATATTTAGCAGGTGAAAAATTCTCTGTCATGTATTCTCACGTAATTCTGTTCGTTCTCTCCCATGTTTTGTCACGTAACTTTTATTTCGATTCTCGTTAGTGAAAACAAAAAATCCATTGTGTAACTAGAAATTTAAATTTCTTTTTCAATTTTTATACGATTTATTTTCTCGACTTGTACAATCGAATCACAATTGTAAGAAAAAGACGAAACCCTTTGATTGCCCTCTCTGATCATCTTCGTCGTAGATATATGACAGTGAAGACTCAAGAAAAGAAAAGCTCGCAGCGTGAGGTTCAACTTGAGCGTAAAGTGAAATCGCTAGAGGAGGAACTTGAGAAAGCTCAAGCGCAATTAGACAGGAAATATCTGGCCCAGGAGGCAAAGAAAGCCAAGGTACACCTACTTCCACATTTCTTTTATTACTTGTACAAATTTCTCGTGCAACAACGCGTTCTACAAAAATTCCGAAATATCGCGCAGACGGCCGAAGAACTCTCACTATGGGAGAAGCAAAAGAAGTGGCAACAAACCGCCGAAAACTTGAAGGAGAAGCTCAAGGTAAAGACAGAGGAGCACGCGAAATTATTCACGAATTACGAGAAACTTCGGTCAGTGGTCTCGTGCATGGAACGAGAGAAACGATATTTAAAGAGTAAATTGAAGCTAGAGAACGGCACGATAGCTGGAAATTTATCAGCTCGGCCGATTAGCTTCCGGCAAAACATCATGGAAGATCTGCAGAAAGAGTGTCAAACGTTGCGAGAACGTATCAAGGAATTGTCGGATAGATTGGAGAACGAGGATAACGAGAAACTTTTGTTAAAACTCGAGGAGCAAAAGAGACGTATCGCCGCGTTGGAGGCAGTTTCTCAGGTTCGTTTCGTTCGTAGGACGTTTGTCACCTCGTTGAATTGCTTCTCACGTTTATTGGTGTTTTTATAGGGTAACGGCTATGTTGTTAGTCAATTAGAGAAATTGGAGATGACCAAAGATATTTTGGAGAAAATGAACTTGGCGTTGGAGGCCGAGAATTTCGAGCTTCGTCTCGAATTGGAAAAGGCGAACGCGGAAACGCCTAGATTAAGGGAAAAGGTTGAACATTTAGAGAAGTAAGTTTAGACAACACATCTTTTATTAGACGTTTCATTTGGAAATTCAAGTGGTTAGACGGGCAGAGTCTTTCATTTTTGGAGCGATTTTAATAATATTTTGTTTTCTTCGCTTTAATTTCAACGATCACTAAGTTATTCTTCAATTTGTTTGTTTATTTGTTTGGATGAAAATTAGGTTAGTGATAAGAGCAATTAGATGATAAATCAGCGCTTCATCTCACAATTTATTATTCACGTTCATAGATACATAGAGCTGTTGAAAGTAGAAAAATCTTCCGACTCGACTCCACGATCGTCCGACAAAGACTTGCAGGACCACGGTTCGAAAAAGTCCATCTTAGAAATGGAGAGGACGATCTTCACCTTGAAGGGCATCATCGAGAAGCTTCACGTGGAGAATAAACGTCTGAGGCTTGGCTCGAAGAAAAATCACATTATGCACCAGGCAGGGGAACGATTTAATTTCTTAACCTCTCGTTCAACGTCGCTTAATTTCGCACGTGTTTAATTTCACCACTAACACTCGGTAAATATCGTGCGTAGGGCAAAGTGTTCGTCAATGGTCGAACCGAAGCTACGTTGCAAAGAAATTACGAGGAGGCGCAGAAACGAATCGTAGCATTAGAGACTGATTTGCAATTGGCGGAGCAGAGAGTGACCGCGTTAGAGAAGGTTCAGAAGGAGGAAGATAACGGTGAGATAAAAGTCTTGAGGGAACAATTATACCACAAATCTGAACTCCTAAACAAAGTGAAGCATTTATTATCGAGAGCAGCCACAAACGAGAAAACTCTTCGGCAACGTGTAAATATACTATTTGTACGCATAAGAGAGGGAAAGGGAGAAATATTGGTTGCACGTGAAATGGTGCTGATTTTGAAATTGAAATCATTCAGAATTTTAATGGCTGCGGTTAAGTTGTATTATGTAACACAAGTTTGAGATATTTGACATTGCCTGAGTTAAATTCTAATTTCATCTTTACATTACTCATTATTCAATACACTTGAAATGGTATAATTTTAATTTCACTTCAAGTAATTCGACATTATTTAATAGTATTTTATAGTAATGGTATTTGACTTTAAGTTCTTTAATATTATTTGACGTTAGTCACTAAATTCTAAACTTCAAACGATTTTAGCTTGATGTTAATTAAGTGGACGTCGAGTCGAACCTTGAAACTTGCCAAACCTTGACTCGGATAAACAATATCATTGGCGAGACTTCTAAACATAAACCGAAATCGAAAATAAAAACATTTCGTTCCCTCAAGCGTCCGGGGAACACAACGACGCAGTTTCAGCTGTCGAAACGTCGCGTAAGGACACAATTTTCGATGCGCGTTACGCTCGGTAGCTTCAAATAAATTGTTCCACAGTGGTGAAAATGTATTGAGTCATTTCGTGATTCGGCGTTGAAACTTGTCCATTTCACGTGCAACAACACAATAATTCAAGAGGAAAAGAACACGAAAGAAAGGAACTTACGAATAATTTTCAGGTACAGCAACTAGAATCGAAACAGGCGTTGTCTACGATACCAGAGTGTCGTGTAACTCCACCCACTCCCGAATAAACAACGTCTGGTATGTCTTCGTAACATTATTGTGCATTTTATTTACTGAACAGCGAGGAAATATTCAGTTTCACATGCGTTGTCTAATTTCTCTTTCCTCTGCTACAAGTCGTATCGACGTGGATGACGTCAAAGTGTGTATCTTTCTCTTAAATTTTATATTAAAAGCAAATAACTCGACTTCTGAAGTTATTCTGTTATAGTATCTTCGATAAGACTAGATGTGAGGGAAAATTTTCGTTTTCACAAACATCATATAAAAGACAAATATCTTTTCTTTACTTGATATTTATTATTGTTAATAATACTTTACGTTCAATACTCTGAATAACGATAGACAGTCACTACCAGCAAAAAATTTGGAACTACTACGTATTTGAGAAAAGATTTCAAAAGCTTTTTAAAAGCTCAAAATGTACGATTAATTTTTGAGAGTTATTAGCAATTCAGAAAAAAAATTGACAGAGGAATAATTCCAAATTTTTGGTAGATGTCGTGCAATACATATACATACATATAATACTCACAGTAAGATACGAGATCGGATTTTTCCGACTTTTCACACCTTTGCGTATACGCTTCCCTGAGTATAGATGAAGGATCGATTACAAAAGTAAAAGAGTTGAGGTATTCTGTACTCAACAGAAACATACACTATCTACATAACTTGTACTTTGATCAATACTACGGTACTGTAATTCTTGTTGAATTAATGAATCTCCGACATTCTCCGTTTCATTCGATTCTGTTCAATCATAACGTGCGAAACAATTCGACGGGGAAACGGAGATCAACGTAAAATGCGTCGTTACAAAAATATTACAAAAGTATAAATTTTCAACTACCTCGAATGTCAAATGCTCTTTTAATTCTACATAAGTCAGACTTCCGTTTGCTAATTTAGGCGGCATTTTCGGCACACGTACGCGTTGACACGTTGACGAGTATTCGAGTAATTTAATAGTCGCTGTCGAGAGCTTGGAGAAACGGTTGAATCGAGCCCTCATCCTCGCAGTCGGGGATGAGCTTCCCTTTGTACTTGACGCAAGAATCGGCGCACTTCTGCCCCAGGAAGTACGGGCCAAACATTTTCTTGCACTGGGCGCAATTTCTGATGCATACCCCTGAGAAGTCAATTCGAAAAATTTTCAATAAATTTTCAAACGCAACGAATTGGAAAGAAATAAACTCAGAGCGTGGTTCGTGCAGTTAATTTTTAAATACTAAATTCGTGTATACACTTACCTATGGCTCGGTCGAAGGGAACGCTTCCTGCAACGAGCATGAACGTCATAGCATAAGACAGGAACAGCACTAGCAAAATACGAGTTGAAGTATTCATGACTGAAACAAATATCGATGTTCAGTATTAATTCATTCTAAATGATAATTAGATCCTAATCCTTTCGAGATGGAGTAAGTTTAATATCCGAGTACACACGATGTGTCCTAATTCATTAATCTCGACCTTACCAAGTACAGAGTGTAGAATTTTCTAGACAATTTTATATAAATTTTCCCCCGAATATTCATGACTGAAACAAATATCGATGTTCAATATTAATTCATTCTAAATGATAGTTAGATAAAATACGAGTTGAAGTATTCATGACTGAAACAAATATCAATGTTCAGTATTAATTCATTCTAAATGATAATTAGATCCTAATCCTTTCGAGATGGAGTAATTTTTATGTTTAATATCCAAGTACACACGATGTGTCCTAATCCATTAATCTCGACCTTACCAAGTATGTAGAATTTTTACCAAGAATGTAGAATTTTCTAGACAATTTTATATAAATTTTCCAAGTTATTTCCGAATATTATCTGTGTCTTTTATAAGAAGGCAAGAAGATGCCTTAAGATGGTTCCATTCGCGATAGAATCTTACGCTCCAATCTCATCTCATTTTAATGGTATCTCCAAAGAGATACCATCTATCAAACTTATGTTAGCCAATTGCACCTTTCCACCTCGAGGAGCGTAGCAACTTTCACTCAGACGTAAGACACCGCTGCACCATTGTTAATTACGTCTCACAATACCCAACAGCGAAGAAAACAAAGAAACCAACCAGGATCTGCGATATGAACCAGGATAGCGACTCTCGATATCGCGCGCGGTTCATCAGCTTTTCTCTCTTGTGCGCGCGCGATGCAATAAATCAAAACAAAAGAAAAAAGGAAAAGAACCAACGTATCTTCAGTAGAACGTGAATCCTAGTGAAGGTAGATCCGACAGAATACCAGGGAGAGACTCGATAGTTCTAGCCTCTGGCGGGATGCACGATTCAAAGCCTCTTCGATTGATTGTAATAATCGTACGCGCTTTCCTCGATTAATTATCGGTCTCGTTCGAGCTGTCGATGAAAGAAAAAAAAAAAAAAAAACAATCGATGCGCAAAGGAACTCGTACGAAAGAGAACGGGGAACGACGTTCGTGAACTTTCAGGGATAAACGCGGCAAGTTGTCGAAGTCGTCGAGACAACACGAACCTCAACGATCAAACTCGACTCGACAATTACGGACATAGCATCCAGATTCGGCTGGTAGTCAGAAAAAATTGAAAACAAAGCAAAAAAGGAAAAAAAAAAGGAAAATAAAAGGAACGAATCATACGCGTGTTCTTTCAATAAGTCCGAATAATTCTTTCCGTTCCGCGAACGCAGATATTTATCGGCCACACGGCTGGTCTCTTCGCGTCTCTCCCATAATAAATCGCTCGAGGGTATCCGCTACGTTGGTGGTCACCTGTTCCTTTTTTCGTTTTCGTATCCATTTTTTTCTCTCTCTCTCTTTCGCTCTTTCTCCCCTCTTCCCTCTTCCCTCCGCCATTTACAACCGGAATCTACCGCGATCCGTCGCTTCCGCGTTCTCCATAACGGCCACATTGTAAACACATAAAGATAATAAATATGGATGGAAGGTGTCTCTTATCTCCTCGTCTCGCTCTCCCTCTCTCTCTCTCTTTTCCTCGCTCTCGGTTTCTCTCCAGGAAGCACTTAAAAGATTCAAGACCAAGGATCGATCGATCGATCTATCTGTCGATCGGTCGATCGTGTTGTTGCCGCCGGTTAACGCACGATCCGACCGTGCAATTGATCGCGAACCAATGGACCAGGATGTGCCTTCGAGTCGGCCGAGCATGGGAATGACAATACCGGGAATATCGGTGATCGGGAGGGCTAAGTAAGTAAGTGGAGTATAGGTTAGATTGTAAAATAAATATATCACTACACGGTGGCCAAGTGATCGGCCAAGAAATGCGTTTTCACTCTATCGGAGAGATGGTAGTATTTACCTGGGTTGCTGCCGGTTGCTGATCGAGCCGAGGCTGCTGGAATTGATAAAACCAGACGAATGACACTGAGCACTGTACGATGACGGCCTTATATATCCGTTGAGGCCAGATTCATCCCTCGGACGAAGGAAACCCCGCTGCCTATCTTACCTTAATTCGATTTCTTCGATTTCCTGCACTCTCTCGGCAATCGTGGGCTGCGGAAATTTCGATCGATCGTTAGTCGGATTGCTTAAAGAGGATCTCGCTGTATCCGGTTCCGCTGCTGCCAACCGACAAGCTGGCGTCGATTCACTGTCGTCGATAACCGCTGTTTAGTGAAACACTTCGAAACGAACTTTTAAATTCCGAGTCTAAATCCGAAGGGGGAAATGTTAATTGCACGGCGTAGATGAAATTCGAAAGGATCATCAGGATCAGGAAGGTAGTTTAGCGAAAAAAAAAAATTTTAACTCGTCATTTTGCAACTTGTGAGCGTTTTATTTATATCCCTGTTGCAAAATGTTTTCCGTTGTAATCTTCGACGATACAAAATATTGCGTCTCTTCGAATTACCATAAAATTAGCAATTTTAATTCAACTTGCCAACGCGGAAGGTATCCATGTTTTTGAACATTTTCGAACACTTGTGTCTGTGTTCGATATATAGGATATACCGTTTTGATAAGATCAGATCAACAGAATATCTTGATCCGTGTCGCACGTCAGGAGACGTCTCGTTGAGATTTCAATCGTCGTGCCGCTATTTCCTCCTTTCTTGTGCCTCCATGTCGACTCTCGTCACTGGAGATTTATGTTGTAAGGACCAGAAGTTTCTGTAACCGATCGCGTCCCTGTCTTTGATCCTTTGGTCGTCGTCCAGTCGCGAAACTTGGCTCTTGCGGCTTGAAATCGTCGACAACGCGTCGCGCGTGTCTTCTTTGCGTCTGGTGTTCTTCGTTCCATGATTTTTCACGTTCGCGTCCTCGTGCAAGTTTCCGATATCCTCGTTTCCGAATCCAGTTGGAAGATCTTCCTCGTACCTTTCGGAAATCTTCAAAGAATCACTAAAATCGTTAAAACTTGTATCTCTCGTATTTCCCCTCTTTTTCTCTATTTTGTATCCCTTATTATTTTTCTTCAGTTCTTTATCCTTGCCCTCGTTAAAGTTAAATTTCGGAAAATCATTTTTAGTTTCTTCGTCCTGATTATAATGGTTTCTCCTTCTTCCGAAATCTCTCTTGTCGTTTCTAAAAATTCTTATAAAATCATCGTGCACGTCCTCTTCCTCGTCTCGCATCCGTTCGTCGATCCTTGCGAAATTACTCGATCCGTACGATTTCGGTAGATCGTCGAAAGTGTCTCGAAGTTGCGCGTTGTTCGCTCGTACCCTGAACGTCGTATTATCACTTTCGGACACGTTGAAGTCGCTCGGAACTCGCTTCCCGTTCTCTCCGTACTTGGTCCGCGTCTCCTTTTCGAGCTGATACAACTTTTTCATTATCGGATCGTCCTTAAGAAATTCGTCTAGATCGAACGGCTTCCTGTACTCGTTCACGTCGAAAATTATGGGCCCCGATTCACTTTCAGAGTCGCCTTGCCTCGCTCTCGTTGAATCTTCGCGCGAAGTTTCCTCAGATTCCTGTTCCACGAGATACTTGGCGTCGTTTGAATTATCCTTCGAACCTTTCGTTGGAACCAGTTCACTTTTATCCTCTTCCTCGCGATCGAAAAATTCAGATGACTCGCCGAAGTCCATCGACAACGATTCACGTTCCGAATTCTGTCCGAACCCTAAACTCTCTAACGATTTATTCTCGTCGCTTTTGTCCCGTTGGCCAGCGTTTGAAAATCTGTTTAAATTCGTCAAATCTGTATCGTTCTTGTCTTCGTCGAATCTTTCGACGCTTTTCAAATTTAGAACGTTCGAATTGCTTTCGTTGGCTTTACTTTTGTCCAATTCGTTGCTGCTTGAAGAGTTGCTTTCTTCGCTCGAGTTTCCTTTCGAATTTTTTAATTCTAAAATTTCCTCGGGAGAATCGTTGTACGAATATTCTTTAGAATCGATAGATACTTCCGGATCAACGAAGTCAGCTTTTCCTTCTGTCTTCTCCTTGCGATCCTCCTCGTCTAAACACTCTTCTCTAATGTCGGAATAATCTGGTACCTCGACATATGGGATTTTGTTCGGATCGTATTCCGGAATCTCGGAAGACATTTCGTAATTTTCGACATTTCTCTGATGATCTCGTATATCGATGTAATGTTTATCCTCTTCTTCTTTTTTGATCGAACTCTGCAATTTATCTATGTCTCGAAGTGTTGCGTTTAACGCATTCTTATCATTTTGTAAATGTCCAATCTCCTGCGACTCTGGAAAATCTTTTTCCCTAGTATTTTGATCGTTTGCTGCGATCTTTTTATCCTTTTTAATCGAGCTCTGGGATTTATTTCTATCCTGAAACGTTTCACTCGACGTGTTCTTATCATTTTGTGAATTTTCAATTTCCTGCGACTCTGAAAGATCTTCTTTGCTATCACGATTTTTCGTTGCGATTCTTTTATTCTTTCTTTTCGGTTTAATCGAGGTCTTATCATTTTGTAAATTTTGCGAGAAATCTTTTTCACCGTCATTATCGCCTTTAAAATTTTGTTCCCTGTTTCCCTTTGAATCACTCGTCTCGAAATTTTGTGTGTCGTCGCAATCAGAGAAGACAGAAACGCAACTACGTTCGTTCGTTTCTTTCGAGGAAGACGATTCGAACTTGTCGAATCCTTTATTCATCCTAGCAGTTCCTAAGTTCTGATTTGTATTTCTTGGTTGCATCGTGTGATTCAATTGTTTTTGTCGTTCCTCGTAACTTAGATTTGGATGACGATTGAATCTCTCTGAAGAGGGGACTTGCTCTCCTACGTGATCAGATCTTTCGACCAACGAACGCCTCAGACGTCCGATCACAGTCTCTTCTCGATGATTCTCAAATATTTCAACTTTATTTTCATCGACATTTTCACTGGAATTTGAATTTCCATTTGAAGTTGGAGAATTTAATGCGTTGGTAGAATTATTATTCGTGCCTTCAGCGAATGCATTGGCAGTGTTACTTTTAGACGACCAACTAGTTTTAGAACCAATTCTCTTCGGAGAATTTTTATTAATCTCCTTTGCCAGCTCTCTCGTGTTTTCGGTCTTCGTTGTCGGACTCCAATTCGACGTCAAAGACGATTCGAATTGTCTCGTAGCATTCCTTTCTGCCGTCTAAAAATTTCGAATCCTTTTGTTACTCTAATTCTACTCGTTGTTTTTTTTTTTTTTCAAGGGATAAGATTTAATGATGAGATCGGCGTTAAAGTAATGTACACGATGTCGTTTGAAGATTTCAGTTTGGTGAAATTTAGAAATTAATTCTAGACAGTACTAGATTTCACACGCCCGAAGTTAATTAATGCCAAACTTCGCGTATTGTCTAACGTTCGTTTCGAAAGGGAAGAACGAAAGAACGAAAAAAAAAGAGAAAGAAAAAAGATGGGAGGAGAATTCACAAAACTTGACGAAGATTCCATAAATGGCACTCTCGTTAATGTGACTTTATTCGTTTCACGATACTTAAACTGTACAAAATTCGATTACAATCTAAGAGGCTGCGGGTGTACAATGGCTCGAAGATCACCATCACCCTTCTCTTCTCTTTCTGTCTTCGCTGTTTTGAACCTTATATAACGACGAACGAAAGAAAGTTCCAGAGACAAGAAAAATACTTGTTTTATTTATATATTTTTGATGTGACATTTTTTAATATGAAATCTAAATGAATGGAGTATATACCAAAACCAACTCGAAATGTATAATATTTATAAAAAAATAATAGATTTATAATTATTTAACTTAATTTATCGAAGCTATATCAATTCATTAATATTATTAATTATTGTGATATATATTTATGAAAATAATAGATTCTCGACACAGCGTACCTTTTTTTCGTTCGCCGCTGTATTTTTCCATAATTCGAAACTCCATAATTTCAGTGAGCCATCCGTGCACGCGTGTATATACATTGGTACGTGATAATCAGACTGCGGACATTTACAACGAACTCGAATTAATCTCCAAAAATAGAGATGAGAAATTTCACGAAATCTACAACGCATTAGTGAAATACTTGTCGCGCGAATATGTCGATAAAATACTACACTTTCGATGTTTCATACATTTCTTCCATCTTAATTATTAAATGCGTAAACATCCATAGTCTAATAAATAATGAATAACGCGATAATACTTGAAGCGAACTAAGATAAATGCTGTCCTCGCGTTCCTTGCTAAAATCAAACGGATAGAAAGAAAAATGTGATACGCCTACAACGACGATAAAAAAAGAAAAACATACTGGTTCAATAGGAAATTGTACACATGAAGAAAGTCATGTACACAAGGTAGTAATTGTATACGTGATTAGATATAGTATTGTACAAATTATTACGCTAGTGTTAATTAACTTTCTCTCTCTCTCTCTCTCTCTCAAATACTAAAGTAACTACCCTAAATAAAAGGGTAGCTACTTACGTTTCGTCAGCTTAAATGAGTTTCAAGGTTTAGTATGTGACATTGTTCATGAAAATGAAATTGCATTCACAGCTTTGACAGTGTATTTTAATTTGTTAATACGTGCTTGGAACGATAGTTGCTGCCTGTTCGTTTGACAGATGTTAGGACATTAAATTTGCAAATCGCAAGTGATATTACGAATGAATTTCACTCCTAATCAGTTATATGTAGCTGGTAGAGATAGAAAGCGCGTGCAGCGAGTAACATCGTTCAGTTCACTGTGCAATAAATATCACCATTAACGACACGCTTTGATAAAACTGGCAAGGTATATGCGGCGGTGTCTTAATGTGCCTTAGGTGACAATGCGACGGCGAACAAAACAATTTATTTCTCTTCCTTTCGTACATTGCATCACGTATATATAAAATGTAAAAAAAGAACATGACGTGAGAATATTGTCTGTTCGATCGCGATTCATCCTCGATGTGCTCCCTGCTAAAGAGTTGTCGGTGCACGGATGGATTACTTTCCGAATCCCAGATACGAGGCAATGCCGTTAATGCTCTCAAAGAGGAGTCGCAGAACTTGCTGTCTGTTGTATTGGTTCCGTACGTTTTCCGGTCTCGTTGGCCGTCTCGGTACATCAAGCAAACGCTCCTTCACCAATCGCTATAGTACAACAGGTTTACATTTGTAAATAGGCGTGTGCGTCCATATTTCAACCCATCATAAAATAATAGTGGGAAAACCTGTTAGGATTTTCTTCGCTTTCACAAACTCGATCTATTGAAATTTCGTCCTCTCGCATGTTACGATAAAGACGAAGTTTTCCTTTTTCTTTTTTTTTTTTTTCCTTTTACTCGAGAATAAATTTTTCTTCAATTTCATTAAAATGTTGAAAGTAAAAATTTTGCATCTTTTTTTTTTTCTTTCTGATTCGAATAAATGGTAACTCGTAATTTTTATCAAAAAAAATCCTTGGTACCTTTTTCTCGTTTCTTTGTTTTTCTCTTTTGAGGAGAAGATTTGTCGTGATAAAGAGGAAGGACTAGACAATGAACGTTGTTGTAAAAGATGGTGCTACCCACTTTGAATTTCGCGTCACGTGCTGTTATGTACATCGTGTGCGGTTTATCACTGGATTGCGGATTTTTGTGTATTCTTATTCTTCGTATTTAAATTAAAATATTCAATATAAATACCCTATTGTTCATTCTATAATTAGTGTAAGTAATATTATAAATATAAATAATAAAATTATATTTAGCACATAATAAAAATTTACATACTTCAAATATAAAATTATAAGAGTCAATAAAGTAATTTCAATATCAAAAATTAAAAATCATAATCTAATTAAAAAAAAAAGGTATTGAAAATTGTAATATAAATTTTGAAATTGGATTAAATCCACATTCAAATGGAATTTTTTTTTCTAAATTGATTTTTTGATTGACTTGTATTTATAATATCATTTACATTAATTACAGAATGAATAATATGATATTTATATTGAATATTTTAATTCAAATAAGAGAAATTATGCTATCATGTTACGAAGGCATTCGACGTGAGGGTAAATAAGTAAGAAAGGGAAGAATAGATTTTTGATGTCGTGCTAAAAATCTGGGAGAAATGTGATTCAATATTTACAACATTCATAGTTCTATGTATATAAAAATTCGAATTTATACAGCATTGTGAGTCGATTATAAATTAATAGATTCGTATAATATACGCACAAGGTTGAGCTGCGTCGTTAATCGATTGAAACAGTTGTCTCGACTCGAACAATTTCGTGAAAAAAATTAACTCTTCAATTCCCATGGCTTGAAATTTTACTGACATTGGTGCGAAGTGATAGAGATGAAAGATATTTTCTCTATTGAACACATTGTATCTGAACTGCAGATTTTCATGCAATTTCTCCATAAATACATAAAAATCCACAGTACAGCTGCAACCCGTGGACTGTTGATTTTGCAACATTTATATATCGTACAAGAACCAAAAGTGGAAATACAAATGTCAATGATTGTACACATTGACGAACCGATCTCTTGCTGACGTTTCAAATCGTTGCAAAATAAAGCTCAGCTCGTGGAAAACGTGAGAATAGAATTCGAGTATTCGACAGGTATTCACACACTTAAAAACACGCGAACACATTCTCGTTCTTACGTACACATCTACTACTATACGCGTACTACTGCGTGTGCATTAGATATAATCTAGATACTCTAGAGGTAAACTAACGACGAAACGAAGGCGAAGTTGAATGAAAGGAGAGCCGCCCGTTTCGCAACTTGTTAATCCCGTGTGATACGAATTGCAATCGTTCGCAACTGGTCCCGATCGTGATACGATGCAACACAGGCGCAACTAAAATGCTCTCTATCGTATTAGTGCTGGCGTATCGTCGAAATGCGATTATTAAAAGCAATCGGCGTGGAAATTGTTCCTAAGTGAACGCGTACCGTCATTACGCAACGAATTTGCAACTGCAGTCATTTGAATCTCCTTCTCCCGTGTTCGACTCGAAATTAATTACTGGCGAGTAATGCGCAAAAAGTTACACTGCGCTCTTTCCCCTTTTTTTTTTTCGTTCGAGTCTGTTGCTGTTGAGGACACGTCGCACGATTCTTATTGAATCGTAACGTATAACAGTGATGAACGAAAGAATTGGCACAATTGTTCCCCTGAAATTTCTTATGAAATTCTAATCCAAGAACATTTCGAACAGAGAATCTTCACGTTCACATTTTTTATGTGACATTTTCTGGCATTGGTCATACTTGAAAGCAATCTGAAAATGTATACATACGTGGAAGTTGTAAGATAATTATTATACAAACTTTCTTGATCCCTGTCCAGATATATTCTTGCAACGAATATCTTGTGATTTCCGTGCATACTTTCAGATTTAGCTTTCAAATTTTAATCGGACGACGAATAGAAGTGTCGAATAGAATTTCAAAATTTGTGGAAATGTAAAGTGTCAAATGCTTTTCGCGAATTTTCTAAAAAATTTGTTGGAGACTATCGATTCCCCTGTGCTTGCCACTATCCTTCATCACTGTGCCCGTGGAAATCGTGAAAGTTCTTAAAATTAGTCATATTTATGCATCGTGACGTACAAAAAAAAAAAAAAAAAAAAAAAAAAAAAAAAAAGAAAAAAAAAAAAAAAAAAAAACGTATAAAAAAGAAGAAAGTAAGAAGAAAAAATAAAGTAGAAAGAATAGAGAAACGTGCAGGTGAGGCTACGACAAAGAAGTACGTAATTCATAGTTTCGATCGATGCATAAATTATAGTAATCTAGCCTGGCAATAAATTAAACGTTCGCTACGAACATGTACGAATTAATTAGAGGTCTCTAGAGGAGGAGGGGAATAGGGAATTGGTGTTCCATTTGGATTCTAGAACAGTGTCAACCTGCTGTTCGTCTACCGCTGTGTTCTCTAAACGATAAGCTTATTCGAAATGCAACATGGCGGACTGGCGTGTCTATAGTCTCCGCAGTCTATCCTACAGTACCGTGATTATCGTGTATCTCGAGGTGTAATGGGGGTTGGCTAGGGGTTCGTGCTTCTTGGCTCGTGACTCGCCGTACTCACTACATTGCCGGTGTGGTTTTCGTCTAGGCGGTAGGCTCTCTAAATTTCTTTTACGTCTAAAAAACAGCCTTTTTACTTTCCGTATGGTTGATAGTTGTCCGCTAGGCTACTCACGTATTGCGCGGCTGGGAATTCCGCCCACTTGCTCAGATCCATGCTTGGCAGCACGCCGCTTCGACACGGTACCCGTGGGTTTCTGCAACGTGAATCGCGAATTGCGTTACTTCGGATGACAGGTTTCATTGTTCGATAGTTACTAGCGAAGCGGGTGAATGGCTAGTATAAATAGAATATTGTGATAGTCTCTGTGAGGAAAATTTTTCATAGGGGTAGATATAGGTAGATATGTTCCAAAAATATAACGTTTGAGAGTAGCTATGCCAGTTTTGAAAGTGTATATCTAGATTCTGTTGCTGGAACGACGGAGTATGTGCGGCTGTTGTAAAATTCAATTAAATTATAAGGAACCAACGCTACTTTTTTTTCGAAAATCAATAATTTTATTTTTCAATTATTTTAAATCAATATTAATAGTATAAGAAAATATTTAAATCTATTCTAAAATGTATTCTAAAGTTCACAAATATGTTTTAAAAATTTAATCAAGCAACAAACTGTAATTACTTTTCTCGCATATACTGGTCGTTACACAAAAAGAAAAAATTTCCACAACTTCATTCCACAACTAAGTGGTTAAAATTTCTAACAATAATCGTAGACATTTATCCAAGAATCATTGGATATATGTAGTAAGTAATAAGTATTGCAAGAACCTCGCTTTCTTACAGTGAACGAACTGTGTCTTTAAGATGTCCATTACGAGACAAATGAGTAGGTATTGATTTTATTGCACAATATTAAAGCGTTACTTTCTCGTACATTCCTCTACCTTTCTTGCACAGTTCGATCATTTCTCACGATGGAATCGAATTGACCTACGATCTTGAAAACAACATATAATTTGTTCTACAAACCAGTAACCAACACATCGCTTCATTTCCTCTTTCGAATATCATTCTACTTACATTTCATGATCGGGCAACACCATGGGATAAATCTGTATGGTGTCGATCAGGTCTGTATTGTCGCAGATCACTCTAGCGAGCTTCACTTTCCGTATCTCGTTTAGTTGATCTGCAAAGTAGGAAACACAGTGTGAAAAGGTTTAAGATTTCGAAGCTGTGAAATTCTGGCATTTCCGAATTTCAGAATGTCAAAGTTATAAAGTTTCAAGGTTCAAAAACTCCAGAGTGTCAAAATTCCAAAATCTTCAGATTCGAAAGTTCAAGAGTGTCAAAATTCCAAAATCTTAAGATTCTAGAATTCCAGTGTGTCAAAATCTCAAGATTCAAAAATTCCAGAGTGTAAAAGTTCCAAAGTTTTAAGATTCGAAAATTCCAGCATGTCAAAATTTTAAAATCTTAAGATTTGAAAATTCCAGAATGCCAAAATTCCAATGTTTTGAGATTCGAAAATTCGAGAGCGTCGAAGTTCCAAAGACTTAAGATTCAAAAATTCCAGAGTATCAAAATTCCAAAGTTTTAAAATTCGAAAATTCCAGAGTGTAAAAATTCCAAAGTTTCAAGTTTTAAATATCCCAAAGTATTACGATTCGAAAATTCCAGAATGTAAAAATTCCAAAAACTTAAGATTCAAAAATTCCAGAGTATCAAAATTCCAAAGTTTTAAAATTCGAAAATTCCAGAGTGTAAAAATTCCAAAATCTTCAGATTCGAAAATTCCAGAGTGTCGAAATTACAAAATGTTGAGATTCCAAATTTCTAAAATTTTCTGAAATTTCGAAGTTTCAAAGTTTCGAGGATTCTAGAAGAGAGAAGTTCACATTCTGCAAACATTCTGTACAGCTCATTCGTTCCTCGATCTTACTACGGAGGCGTGAATGCGTCGGTCATCAATTATTCTTGTTCACTGGCCAGTAATCTCGCCAGAATTCACGAATCATTGGAAAATCGGCGATTGGAAAGGTTGAATTTCTTACCGATGGTGAAGGACGACGGCTGGTTCGGCAGCTCGTACCAAAATCGGTCACCGCGGCGGGAATAGCTGAACTGCGTGGCGATTATACAAGCGAAGGTTGGCCCGAGCATGCTGCCCGGAAGCGGTCTCTCGGACACACCGCCGGACCACAGGTCCACGTCAGCTGGATGTCTAAACATCAAAATCCGCACCGTTATTTCCGGGAATTTTACCATTTTAGCCATTTCAATTAAGAACGTGTTTTGGAAGTGATTCGTAATTTAAAGAGGAACAGATTAGCTAGCAATCGATTTGAACGATCAGTCAGTGAATTATTCACGATCTAACTAACGATGTTTTGACACCGCAACCAATCTGACGAGTTCATCGAAATCGATTCAACGTTGGATAGTTGTTCGTGGAGTATGTTTTGAATTTTGAAGATCGAAGAGCGTATAAATAGGGATTGGGGAGAGGATCGCGAGGTTAGTACTTACTCGAAAATCGAACTGTAACGTCTTATGGTCTCGTTTGGCATGGAACCTTGCAGATCGTCGAAACTGTCTGCCCATGGGAGTCCGCAGTATTTTCTGACAGAAGCAGACAAATTGAATTATTGTAACGTGTCGGTTTCCCAAAAACTAATCAACGAGTATTTCTAGTGAATTTTTATGAAGTTTCTTCTCTCTCTCTCTCTCTCTCTCTCTCTTTTCTTTGTCAATTTAATTTGTAATTAATTTATAGTAAATTTGTAGTTGAAGTTAAATGTCTCGAGCGAAGTGTACCAACCTGTATTCCATGTAACTTGGAATACCAAATTCACGACCTCGTTGCATGTTGAACGAGACCAAATCCAGTCCGAATTTGGCCCCGGCTTTTTTGAACAAATGATTCGTCACCTGGAATTGACGCGAGTAAATGATTGGTCCGTTGTCTCTTTTACTTTATATTTACATCGAAGAAAGAGGAAATTTCATACTTCTTGCGTGATGGAGTCGTCCATCGCTTGAGCAACCTGGTTCATCAGTCCCATGATGTACTCGTCGAAAACTCCAGCGCGATACAAATCGAACGGTCTTCTGATCAAGTCCGACAGCCTCTTCGAAGCTACAGAGAAACAGTTATTTAAAGTCACCAAAATTCATCGTTCAAAGACTAGGCGAGGAAATTAATTATTCAAGTGAACACTACTGAGTATTTGCAAATGTCAAAATTTCGTCTCACCGATGAATTTGTGAGCTTTGCTCCATCTTTCCACTGCCGTTGGTAACAGCGAGTGTCCGAATCTGAATGCCGCAGCGGCGAAAGCGTCGATCACCGAAGGATTCACGTTCTCGTCGTAGCCATCCCAATATCCCTAATAAATGAGTAAATTAAATTAAATTAAACGTTAGATTGACTTGCGCTGACTTGCATAATTTTAATTCAATTTTAAATATACAGAAAGGCTAAGCAGAGGCTACTTAAAAAATATTTTAAATTGAACGAAATTTTCTCAGAGATCATTGGTAAATGGATTGTTGACGAGTATATACTAGGCATTGGTTAGTCGCGAGTTTCGAGAGTTTCTTGAATTTTGGGTGTTTCGAAATTTGTAAGTTTTTAAATTTTCGTGAATTTTAAGAATTTCGTAAATTTCGAGAGTTCTGAGAGTTTCGTGAATTCTAAAAGTTTCGTAAGTTTTGAAAGTTTCGGGAGTTTCGAGAGTTTCTTGAATTTTGGAAGTTTCGAAATTTGTGAGTTTTTAAATTTTCGTGAATTTTAAGAATTTCGTAAATTTCGAGAGTTCTGAGAGTTTCGTGAATTCTAAAAGTTTCGTAAATTTTGAAAGTTTCGGGAGTTTCTTGAATTTTGGAAGTTTAGAAATTTGTGAGTTTTTAAATTTTCGTGAATTTTAAGAATTTCGTAAATTTCGAGAGTTCTGAGAGTTTCGTGAATTCTAAAAGTTTCGTAAGTTTTGAAAGTTTCGCAAGCTTCGAGAATTCTGAGACGCTGCGATTTTCGAATTTCGACAGTTCCGAGCTTCAAAAGTTTGAAGAGTTTCGAAGTTTCGAAGATTCGAATTTCGAGAGTCAAAAAATCAGTCTCGAGTCCATCCTTAGTAGTATACACTTCAATTATTCACGAAATTTAAATTATTTACGTTAAATTAATGTCTATGAATGAAAGATTCACAGATTTGTCTCTCACATTTTTCTCAAGAAGAAGCCCAAACTTCTCCATAACGTCTTTGCCAAGTAGAATGGGCAGAAACTCATTGTAGGTGATGTGTTGGATCTCGGCGATGACAATTCGTCTTGCCTCTTGGTACAACGTCTCGTCGTCCCAGTGAGGATTAATTTGAATCAATGTCTTTGCGATTCGATTGTGTTCACGGGCCATCAACGTGTGCATGCACGTTAGCACCAGTTGCTCGTTCACTCTTATTTCACCTGAGGGTAAAAATCACTCGTGAATGTCCCTCATGGACGATCAAAGGTGCATAATTTTTCTTACACGACAAAGCAGAACAACTTTCTACCATTCTTTGCAAATCTTAAGAATTTCTTTCTCGTTCGTGACTCTTAGGCCGAAGAACCAACTTTTGTTAACTTAATATTCATTTATTGGTTTCCAACTTTTACATTTCGATAATCAATTTCAATTACCGAAAGTTAATTTTATTGACCAATTATATTTCTATAAACAACTTTTATTAAACAATTTTATCAAAAAGTATTATTTTCTCAGAAAAACAGATATCCTGCAATATATGACGAACTCTACAGACGAAGATGCAACAGTGATTCATAATTTAGAATCTATCAGAATACATCTATTATAAATTAGGATCTATCTATTAGAATCCTAATTATTAACATTAATGTTAATTTCTGTTTTCGCATTTGTAAATTGCAAATTAAAATATTTCCTCGAAGACGATAGATATAGACAAACATAATGAATATAACAAACATAGCATATACGTATTTGACATGAATTCGAGACATCGCTTTCGTTTTGTTTCGTTTGCAACAACTTTACGAATAAAGTCGCCGACCTTGATTCTGGACCACTCCCTTTCTCTGTTACATATCGTGTTATACGCGTATAATCGTTGGACCGAACGACCATCGACGGCTCGACCAGGCAGAATGCGAGCGTTCCACGCGAATTTCGACACTGCATCGTATTACAGACAATACCGTCTGGTCCTTATTATCATTTTGCCCGACACGTGACCTTGTGCTAATTAGCCACAATTTTTTTTTTCGAGCGATTTTCACCGCGCGAAACAATAAACTTTTGTCGATCGCTGCTGCCTCCTCACGTCGATCAAATCCCGATTACGTGCAAAGATCGTGGTTGTGCTAGAACTGTCTAACCGTGACACTTGCGTCACGAGGAAATTAAAATACTAATTGCTCGTAAAAAACAAAAGTTTGCAATTGTCTCCTGCATTTTCTACTCATAGAATATTTCTAGTTCTGAGCTTGAAATGAAATTCCATGTGGGAATGCAAACGTGCGGTATGTCTTTCGTTTGATGTGAAAGGGATTTTACGTAATTGCAATACTTCTCGTTTGCATATTTCGATATATCACGCGTGTTTCGCATATTTGCGTATATTTCACTTTATCGTTCGAAAGTTTGGAATCGTTGCGCGTTGACAAGAGATTTGAAAAGGTGTAACAGCTTAGAATTTATTTCGAAAGTCAATTTTTTCATACGAAAATTTTTTATCAGCGATGACAGTGATATCAGAGAAATTATTAATCAGATATGAATTATTCGTTTCATCATCATCGGTAGTTTCAACGATTTCGCTCTGGCTTACGGATCATTTTAAATGCTCAGACACTTAATCACACCTGAACGAATCGTACGGGATTGTTTCGTTCTGTACACGATAACCGCGTATTTTCTGATTGGTTGAACACACAACGTGGGAAAAATTATTTCCCAGATCGGCGAACACGACTGAGGGTGTGAGATAAAATCGTACGGCGCCGACGACTTTTTTCCTTCACTTCTCGTTGTCTACTGCCGATTGCGAGTCTCGATTCTATGGTGATTAGAGATTAGATCCGTCGTTTGTACGTTTGATTGAGTTGTCGCGCGAGCGATCGTGCGTTCCAGTTGTCGAACGAAAGGGGAAAGGTCTCTTGGTACTGCTACTTTTTTCAATTCAAAGTATCGACGTTAAGCGTCGAAAAAAAGAAAAAAGAAAGATTTCTTCTCATCTCACATTGTCAAGAGTACTATTGATAGTCATTGAAGTCAGATGAATTGAAAATTGAACGAATATGCATAGATCTTCTTCGTTTTGCAATGTTTGAGTTTCATTGATATTATAACAAACCGAAAAACTTTCGAGTCGAAAAGACGAGCTTATACAGCATACCGATCGAAGTGCTCCAAGTACCGCTGTCTAAATCTGAATTGACTAGGATTCAAGGAGTGTTGTACTACTCTGCGATGATTACACCTATTACACAGAATGATACGGATGACTTGAAAAGTCGATGGACGTTGAATAATCTAGATTTAACGCACTTGGCTCGAGAGATTTTTCAAAGTTGACCCTCAAAGAGGACCCGAGACGAACACCGGTCGAGCATTATTAATGAGCTTTCTGATGTCTTAAGACGTCAGCCGTCTGCCAGGTTCACCTGGCTCGAAGATTTATGACATCATCCGGGCTAGATGTATCGAGATACGAACGAGATACAATTCCAGACATTCAGTCTCGTCGTTTGTCGCGTTGTTTATCGAGAGCCTTAGAATAGAAGATTGTTCTCTGAAAGATCCTCGGTATTTCTTCTAAAACAGAAATCTTTCTTCCTGAAGCTAAAATAATTTCCCACATATCGGTCGCGTATAACTAACTTGCCAAACACTGCGAGTCTTTGGGCTGAAACTTTGCGTAATCGTTGGTGGGACGCGGGAACGATTTGCATTGAAAAGACTCACCCGCTTCGAAACAGTACATCGATCGATTCGGTCGAGTGCAGCCCTCGTCGGGGATGTCCAGCTTGAGCGGTAGTAAATCCTGCAAGCCGTACTCCGAGAACACCGGGTTCATGCGCAACAGTCCTCCGTAACCGTTGCGGAGCTTCCTGCAAGTGGAAACAAGAAGAGGTGTTGATTAAACACGTCTGATTAACAAGTTGCGCGAATTCTTATTTTTTTACGAAGACCAATAAAAGGAAAAGACCTAGTAGCACTTTGTATATTTGGATATTTTATCTTGTCTTCAAAATAATATGTAAAAGTCCAGAGCCTATTAATTTACGTTAAATTTTGCATCTTGAATTTTGGCGACGCTTTCGCGGGATTACAAGAATCTGGTATTATTTTCTCGTTGTTCGTTGGAAAATGAGGGTATACTGTCGAACTCTCGTGAGAACACACAACGTTGCGGTCTTCGAATATTTCTCGGCGCCGTTAAAACGTTTAACCAAAGTGAAAGATCGTCCGAATTCAGCTGGAGTCAAAAGACGAAGGAGTCTCTCGATACCGTGGATCTACTTGTACCTTGCCCCGATTGGGCAACCGTGGATCTCATAATGCGAGGCGGACTAGAAAGTGCGAGGAACAGAACGTGTACACGTAGACTACACGTTAGAAAATATGGAACAACGTAATGCTGATTTATTGTCCCGGGCTGATGTAACGGATGGCGCTGCTTTGAGTTTCCAGCAGGCTCAAGTGTTGCAAGTGTGTTGCTCGATTACTATTGAGCGCGTTTTGCTGCTATTAAGGAATTATTGGTCGCCTCGTCGGGGGAAAACTCGATGCGGTAGCGCTTGAAGAAGTATCGTGGCTCTTTTCAGAGAGAACACCGATTGAACCACTTGCGCTGGTAACTGGTTGCGGACCATAACGAGTGACCAAACCGTATATACAATAATTCGTCGCTTTCTTTTCAAACTCGTCGGTGTGATAAGTAATAAATTTATTATTTGTTTTGCCTGGGTTATATTTCAATATAATTGAAATTAGTACGTTGAAATTATTTTCTCATTATTGGGAACATATTTTACCTTAATACGAATAGTAATATTTAGAAATTGTTCGGAATCTGTCGAACAGAATCTCTTTTCCCTGAAAATCAGATTTTTGAACGCAGTTCTATTAAACGCCTTAATCACTTGCGCTGGCAACTGAATGCGGACCATAACGAGTGACCAAACCGTATATACAATAATTCGTCGCTTCCTTTTCGAACTCGTCGGTGTGATAGAAATTATTGAGAAGTAATAAATTTATTATTTGTTTTGCCATATACTTAAAACTGAGGAAATATTGCAATTTTGGCCGATGATCACCGTAGTCGTAGTCAACCTCTTTTTACTTTAAACGATCCACACGATCTACTCGTTTACCTAAGTAAAAGAGCTTTACCCACACGGAATCGTTTACCTTTGAAAACAGATTGATCTACGCCGTGAATTTATACTCTGAACTGCGAAAACCATTCTGAGAGACTATTAAAAAAAAAAAAAAAAAACCAATTACCTGCTCGATCTCTCCCATTACCAATATCTCGGGCTCATGGGTATCTAGATCGCGTTGGAAAAGACCACCCAGCAACGAAACTCCCCGGCAACAAACGTCGAGGCAAAGAATCAATTACCTAGCGAACGATTCCGTGATACCGTAGACCGTGTTGCCGTCGAGCACACCCGTCAAGAGATTAAAAGGCACGCGGGAGCCGAGTCGGCAACCGGGTCGAACCGCTGGAAAGGCGCGAACGAAGTCCATGCACTTCACGCCGAACAGCCTGTAGAAATAATCGTCCTCCGGTATATGAATCTCGTTGCAGTACGGGTTCTTCAGATGCGGCGGCCGATGGCAACATTCCTCCGGGTCGTTTCGGTTCAGAGGATCTGCAAGTAGAATACCAGTTTCGTCGAATCATAACCGTTGCTCCATTTCCTTGTTTTTGCTTTCGCGGAGTTGTCTATTTAATCGTATTAGTGTTATGTAGCACGATCGCGAAGAGAAAATATTCGTACGTATGTACAGGATGGAAAGCAAAGTTTGTCCGCGGCTGTCATAGATGAATTCCACACCTCTGAGTCGATGGAAATGCGTGTAAAAAATTTGAATTTCAAAAATTCTTTTTGTATTGTATTCTGTTCGTTATGAAGGTAAAACATTTCCAAACGTAATAATTCCCTTGGAAAATAGTAAAAAAATTTAACGTTGCTAACGTTCCTAACAGCGACTTTATGGTTCTGGACACGTGGATGCAATGTTTATATTTCGTACAATGTCAACAGTTTAACAGGATTTACAATGTAGTTTCGATTATAGCGCCATATCGTCAGTCACATTGAAGCTTCCTTTCCTAATTACTTTCTTTAAACCTAAACCACGTGTATATTATATATTTTCAATTAAACCTAAATCACATGTATATTATATTTTAGTAGACAATTTTTGCTTCATCTACGCCTGGCATTTTTCGCCAAGTTGCATGAAGGAGGCATTATCCACCACGGTTTTTTAATTAACTCCCGACACTAAAACAATTAATTCTGCGACGACGATCACGACGACAACGACGACAGTTGCACGAAAGCGTCGTGTATAACTTTCGCCGATGTGTGTTTGGCGTTCACCTACGTGGGAAGATTCGAAGGCGTGAGCCGAGTACGAGAACCGCAAAACTCACTATCGTTAATGTTGGGAACGATTTTCTTGACGAGATACAGAAACAACATTCGAAAGTATAGAGCAGAACGATGAAAGTTCGATTACGTAAAAGTACGTTTTCTTCATATTGTCACTCAACGCTGGAACTATCAATACGGTCAAAATGATCAATTAATAACGTTCCATGGAAATTTTATAGAAAAGAATTTCGTTAACATCTTTCAATTCGATCCGCATGTGTTTCCATACGCGGAAACGTAGTAGTTGAATTGGATCCCAACGATTTTTCAGACAGAGATGAAATAAAGCAGTGATCTACGAAACAACACGCGAGTCTGCTCGTAGATCAAGCGATTGACGATCGATTTGAATTCTTCTTTCGCTCTGATTCTATTGTTTCGACGATGTTTCCTAAATTCTTTGTATACGGAGTTGGATTAGATGGTTGTCTTAAGTCGTGAATTAATCGTTGCAACTTCGAGATTATTGCGATAAGAGTCTTGTTCTGTCGCGCTCAGGTGGACAGGTAAAATCGTTGCTCATCGAAACACCGTGTGAAACTGTTTTGAAGAAGATTGAAGATTGTCGGTGCGATGGTTTAGATTTGTTCTATCGTTACAAAGTGTGCGTGTTTATGCGTCGTACGATTATTCATATCGTCTTTTGCACGCGTTAATTATCAACGAGCAGTGCAACGAACAATAAATGTGTTTATCCTCGCTATTGTTCTCCATAGTAAATTTCCACATAAAGAGACTATCGTATGTATACTATGTATTTTAATGTAAATATAAAAGTAAAACTGATCGTCGATAAGAGCTTCTTCCAATGGAAAATTCAGTAGAATAATCTCGAATTGCTTCATAGGTAACATCAATCACATTAACTGTCGCAAGCAAAGGATGGCTAACTATTGTATGCTGATTACCGTGATTTAACGTTCGAACCGCCAGTTGTGAGCATAATCAAAATTACGCAATCGTATCTTTATTTCGGTAGAAATCAACTATCCAACTATCGTCCAACTTTCCATATTATTGTCTCTGACTTTATATTAAAAATTCAGCCCAATTAATCATTAGCTGATTAACTGAGTACCATCTTCGAATCAATTGATGTCTCCAATTTCATATTGAAAATTAATCATTAACTGATTCATTGAATACCATCTTGAGATCAATCGGTGTCTCCAATTTTCTATTGAAAATCTAGCCCAATTAATAATTAATTGAATACCGTCTTCAGATAAAAATCCATCAGTCTCCCAAAAGAAATCCGTAGAACTTTCTTCTCTTTTAGCGCAGTACCATCGCTAGTCAGTCAAAAACCGCTATCTCTGACCTCGTGTCGTAAATTCAGCGTAATTAACTATACGAATAGAACAGAATAGAATAGCAAGCGGCTAATTTCGTGCGGCGCGGCTAATTACCAGGTTACAGAACACGGCGCGTGTGGACGCGTGTAACGATTTTGGCGTGGAAACGTTCACGGTGGTCGCATGATCGACGGTTTACCTGTACTTTTATCTAACTGACGATCGTTCGCTTTCTCTGACTGTTACCCTAGTTTCCGATAGATGGTAAAATATATTCGACGTAGAAGGGCTTACTACCTGTGCGTAGCTCTAATCACGTTTTTTACTATATACGAACCGTGTCCCCATGTAAAGGCTGATGTAATATCGGGCCGAACCGATACCAAATTGCGTAATTTGCTATTGAAAATTGGGCCTCGGTTACTTTCTCCATTTTTCTGCTCGTAAATTCTCGGTCACCGCTCTCTTTCTCTCTCTTTTTCTCTCTTTAGGCGAGGATAAAACCTACCTTTCTCGCCTGTCTCGCGTTCCTCGCGAACGCGTCGTTTTCGTCGATCAATCGTGAAATATTATCGTTTTACTACACAACTGTCTCAGTCCTGCACCGATTTCGAGGTTCTTGTTTTGTTGCTCAATTGATTGATCCTGTTTGGTAAACGTCTACGCACAGAAGTCAAGATTGCTTCTGTAAGATGGCTTATGTTAATATCGCGATTACTGTTCGCTGTGTTCTAAGATTTGTGCCAAAGAAACTGTCACGGTATATAAAATACGTAATATTAATATCAATATTAGAATTAATAATAATATTAATTATACATAAATGTAAGGAAACATTACAAAAATATTTGCATAGAAATTCCAAAATTAAGCAATTATATCAGCTCCAATATCTAGAAACCAGCAAAATTTACTTTCTTATTTCTAATTTACAAAAATTACATCCGCGTTTTATCTTACTCTCGCGTATATACAGTTGATATATTTCGAGCCGAGCATTGGTTGCAATCTATCCATCTATCGTTAATCTATAATTCTATGTACGTACGCTGTACATAGCATAACTAGACAATTATCGGATTTCGAATCGTACCTAGAGGGGTTCCAGTCAGCGTATAGTCGTGATCCATAAACTGTCCCCAGGCGATGACCATGACTGTGCCAGCGTGATCGTGATAACCCTCATCGGGATGCATGGTGCGCGACACCACTCGCGATAATGGTAAATCACGGCTAGTTACCGATATTCTAGGCGCTGTTAAACCGTCGGCAAATCGTGGACTCATCAATCTGTCAACGACAAACGAAAATTTGTCATCGTGTGAAATTACGCTCGATATAAGAGGATAGATATTGCTGGTGGATTTTACCTTTGGAAGGGGGATAGCGTGGCGCCCCACGATGGATTCTGTAAATTCGTGCAGAGACCGTCGTTCCTTCGGTATTTTCCCGCTCGACACTCCACGTTGCTTAGGAAAGTTGGACACACCTCGCGGATCAGGGTCTTGGAGGTGTCGATCAGGGGCAGACTCTTCTCGACCTCCCCGTAGCTTAGCCCATATCTGTCTTGTAACAGGATCTTGTAATTTTTTTACTGATGGGACAAATTATACTGATATTTTGTACAGGGTAAGTCCGGGTGAGATGGCTTCATCTTATTATATAGGTTACCAAATTTTCAGGTTTTCTTTAGTAATATATATTGTCATCATTCGTTCGAGCTTAAATTAACTATTTTTTCTTGTTTGTTTACATTTGAGAGATAAATTATGTATAATGTATATGATCGAATAGTCTCAAAAAAAATTTTTTAAATTGAAATAGTTTCAGACCTTTAAATTAGACCCGGATAAGATTAAACCGGTCGTTTATTTTCTTTTTTTTTTTTGTAAATTTGTGATTATTTTCTAATTTTTTCTATTTGTAACATTACAAATTCATGTGTATTTACTTTCACAAATATATCTGTCTCTATAAAAGAAAAGTGGGCCGTCACTCCCCGACTTACCCTACGGATGTTGATGTTAATAAAATTATACTTTTACGAGACAAATATCGCAACCATCGTCATTTATTGGAAATAAATAATGAGAAAGGAAGAAAGAAAATAGAGTAATCTTACGTTTGTGCGAGATTGACGCTGATATCCAGCAGAAGTTCGCCGACCGTGGCCAGATCCTCCGGCCGCCATATTTTGGTCTTGGGTTGCGCCACATCTGCATGAACCGACGAAACGTGCGTGAGCATAGTCGTGAAACAAGCGCAAACACAAGGGGCGCATTAGCCAAGGATGAGCGATACAACGAGCTAGAGGTATAATCGTTTCAAGAACGTGACCGAATCGCGAACTGAACTTTCATAGAAACCAAGTGACACGCTAAATTATATCCCGCGTTAATCGTTACGTGTATCGATTATAATTGATCCAACTTACTCTTAAACCTCGATCACATCTGACTTTATCAAGCTCGACAGATCGCGCGATTAATCGTGACAATGCTCGATTAATTAACACGTTAAGTATCGTGTGTACTTTGTTTATCTTTCCGTTTACGACGTTCGATACAGTTCCGCTGTAAGCAAAACGTAAGATCCAGCATCCCAAGTTAGACAAATTGTTACGAAGAAAATACTGCTGGGGAGAAATATTAGTAAAAACGTGACTAAAAAAGTCTAAATTGTTTCAACCCATTAAAATTATTGTAATACTGTATACTGTATATGTAATAAATAAAAGCAATATTCGTTCCTGTAATCTTAAAGTTTTTCAATTTTTAATATACGTGTACGCGGCCCGAAATGGAAAGATTACTGTCGGTCACCAGTGACTGGCACGACACTTAACGTGTTAACAGAGTTAATTTGTCAGGTAACGATGATTAGAATGCGCACTTTTATATGTTTTAAAATATGCAAAGGACACTTTGTCTCTTTCTTTTGCCTAACTTCAGTCAGTACTCACTGATGCGTTTTCTGGCTTCGATGTAGGCACGATTCACAGCGTCGTAAGTGATGCACGCCTGCGACCCAGTTGCTGGGCTGAAACGAAAACGAATGGGAAATTAACGCGTGTTCCCGATCCTCGAACCGGCTTCTTATCATTCTCCTCTCTGTTTCTTACTTTCGCTCTTCGAGTCATTTCTTTCTTTCTTTTTTTTTTTCTTTTTTTTTTTCTCTCGAGTTAATTACCCAACTACCAGTTTTAGCCTAGTTTCGTTAACCAGACAGCTTCTAACCTGCGTGTCTTAGGTATATTCTGTATCCAAGTAACACGAAACTGTCATATACGAGCCGTGCACCCGCGAAAGGCACGTCAATTGACATATCTCGTTTCTCGCAATGAAATATCATGGCATTGACGTGCCACTCGTGGCTTCTACTTCGAAGGTTGACTCACCTGGCTTTATCAAGCTCGACAGATCGCTCGATTAATCGTCATATTGTTCAATTAATTAATTAATGGAGCAGGTGATCATTAGAATGCAACCATTAGATTTCTGTGTAACTGACGTAAATATGCACATATATAAATTAAAATATAAAAAAATTAAATATAATAAATATAATATAAAATATAAATACATAAAAATTGAAAATATAAATTACTGTTGTAACTTAATTAATTTTGTTTCAATTGACAGTTTATTTACAGTAAGATATCACAGTTAGCTTCACGATAGATTACATTACAAGCGTTCAATATTATAAGTAAGTTTTCAACATGCAATTGTTATCTGTCATTTAATATGACTTTTTAATTTGCCAATGCTATTTATATATATTTTGTCAAAAAATTTCCCCATTATTTCATTATTTAGAGATTGCCAAATCATGTTAATAGCATATCATTGCTTTCGTTAGAGCCATCTAGAAATCGTTTCTGTCAGATGTACTTGCCATATTTCCTGCATTGTCTGTATTAATTTCGACTTATAATTAGAATCCGTTGTCGGAACAAATCTGATTTCAAACGAAATTCAAAATCACAGTCAAACGATGAAATAGACGTGAAAAAAATATTTAATATATATGCTTTTTTTATTATATTTAAATGCACGAAACACGTACAATACGTAAAATAGTAATCACACGTCGAAGCATGCTTCTGCATAGAAATTCCCACTCAAGTGATGATATTTTTCATTTTCCACACGATTTCTTTTGATTTGTTAATGGATCTCCATTCTATTTCTTAATCTTAAATTTTTCTCTGTCATAATATCAATCCAACGTTTTCGAACTTTAATTAGTGCTAAATAGCTACACCTAACTGATAGTTTTTCTGTGACGAAATCCTCATTCCAGAGGATTGAGTCATGCGTTTCTTCGGTATTTCGTCTTAAAATTGTGTTCTTTTTACGGAATTTATCGATTAAAACGAACGCGTTACTGCGAACTTCGTCAACGTTCCTGCACAATTTTCGCGCAAGGAAATCTGCTTGTGCTCGGCAACGTTTTCCCACAGATTATCCTGTCACATTCGTTATTAAATGGAGTAACAGGGCACACGCTGAAAGTATCGGCGAGAATGCACTTGGGGGTCATTCTGAATTTAATTGCAATAGCTACGCAATTTCACGTCGCGCTGGCCAATCTAATAACCACTTAAAACGTGTATCACCACGTTTAATAAGTTATTGTACGCGCCAATTTTCCACGGCTTTTGTAGCCAGTTGATAGAAATATTGCAAAAAGAAAAGAAACGCGAGATTAGGAAACTTAAAGTTTATTAAAGTCGCGGCGATTAGACTCTTACGATGTTTTCCTTTCCGTCGCTTGAAAAATTCGCGAAATTTAAGAGAAGTTTGAAAATATCGTCACTTTGTATAAAGTTTTAACGTATTATTAAACAATATTTAACCGTTTGATAATTTCTTGTTTGCTTCGTTATTTGTGAAATTTACGCGATCGTTGGAGAAAGTCCATAAAATTTAAAAATTTTGGTCTAAATTCGCGTTTATGAAAAGATGAAACGTATCATAGCATACAGATACTTTTTTTTTCTTTTTGTGCAGGTTTAAAGTTATATCGATGACATTAAACAAAATTTTTAAAAATATACATAACAAAAGAATTACGGATTTATTTTAGTGGGAAGTGATTTTTGTATGACATTACGGAACGATCCAATAGATCGCTTCGAATCGACGAGGAAAGATTTTACGAGGAAAACGATCCTTCTTCGTCGATTTTTATATGGCGAAGGTATTTTCATTGCAATCACGGCGTCGCGCGCCGTACGGCCAATCCTGTTAAAAACAATCTCTTTGATATTCACTTGGTTTGGTTACGCTGGATTCGTAAAAGGGAACGACACGTTTAAAACGCGTTCCCGCCCCGTTTCGGCGACTCTTACATGGACTATGCGTGCAACGTATAACGAAATTTACCGAGAGCAATTTTAAGCTGGGTAGAAAGTGATTTAACAGAAGCATTCTAGCGACCTACGTTACATAAATATCATTAAACGTCGTTAAACAATTATATTTCTATGTCAGTCGCATTTTTTCCAAATTCTCTGTCAGTCGTACCCTGTAATTTCATTCGTTGGAAATTGTTGATGTTAATTACAGAAAATGACCCAACGGGAAATTTCTTTCGTGACATAAAGACGTAAAAAATAAAGTGACAAATTACAACAACGTCCAACTACAAAGATTGAAAGGAAAAACAAAGAAAGGGACAAGGAGAAGGCATAGGATTCTTTCTATAATAAATAGCAAGGAAATGCACGTTCATAGAACGTAAATAGTAAAATCATTATATATATATAATATTATAATAATGTAATTTTTTTATTTATGTTCTATGAACGTTCATTTCCTGTATAATATATAATATTCTATATATATTATATTATTATTCCGTATTACGAAATATTCATTGTCGACGTAACGAAACCAGGAACACGATCTTCGTGTTGCACAAGCTATAGATTTCCCATTTCATTCAATATCAGCTGACAAGGTATCGCTATACAAGGCTGAATCGTAACGGTAGTATCGATAACCGAAACGATATTTTTCACGTATTGCTCTAGTCGACAAAAATTCTGTCACTCTCGTTATATCATTGTGCCTGCGTTATGTCACTGCCACTGTTAAAACGTTCACTGCTCTCTGTGTCACACGAGACGGAAAAAATTGAGAGCTAGAAGTCGAACTTGTAAGTGGTATTATCTTATGGTTGTTATTAAATCGCGAGTATTCAATCCTTAACTAGTCCCGGAGAGTCAATACCGTGTGTGAAAATAAAAATTCTTCATTTTTAAAACCATTTCTAAAAAAAAAATGGAAGAAAGTATCTAGTATCTAGTATCTATGTACAAAATCTAGTTTATCGTTTCTCGATTTTCGAATTAAAATGAAAAATTATAATATTGAATTTAATATAAAAATTAATGTAATACTGAGTTGGCTAAAAAATAATTACGTTTTTTTTTCCTATAGAATGTAACTAAATTCATTTTAATTTACAAATTCATTGTGTGATCTGATATCTGAAGAAAGAACATTTTCGTCATATGTTGTACTACTTTCGAAAAATAAAAAAAAAAAAAAAAAAAAGGAACGCTGTGCAAGCTCATAAAAGATTATTTGATGGTGAAGAAACCTTCAACTACGAAACTATCAGAATTGGTTTGCTAGATTTCACTATTGACGAGGATATCAAATCTTGGAATTTCGTTCAAAAAAAATAAAAAGTTGCCCAAAAGAATGGCAAAAGACAATGGAACAAAAATGGTCAATACATTGTCTAACAAAGGTTTTTTTGCGAAAAAGGAAAAACGCAGTTACTTTTTGTCCAATCTAATGTATCTCGAATCAAATTTAGAAGGATGAAAGTTCTAAAAATGTTAGTTCATCATCGATATTCGACAAAATATTGGGACACTGTCGCGATGTCGTTATTAATAGTTATAGAGCATCGTACCGTGGAAACGTGGAAAATTCTCGGGGAAAATTCTCGTTGTCCCGTGACGGCGATATCTTGCGAAAATATTCGAGTCGCGTGATCGCACGTCGATCTGGCTTTCACCGAGGTTAAGCGAGTGCAAGTGTAACGCACAAATACATACAGATCTTGCGTTGCGTTTTCAGCCGTGAGCCATTATATCTTGTCCCCGGGCGGCTTCTTTCTTCTTTGGACAAACGTACGGATTCCAATATTGCAGATACAATGCACACATCGTGTCGTTTACGCGTGAACGAATTGTGAACAGACAGCGTACAATCTGAACATTCGCAGATAACATTATGGCCTTGGAGTCCGACGTGATTGAAATCTCGACGATTTTCAATGATTGTCCATTAAAAAGTTTCAAAATTCTTTCTCTCTTTAGTGAATTTCTTTAATGAAAATCGACACAACTTTACAAAAATCGACAGAACCTTTAATAAAAGTCGATCGATGAATTACTGTATATTTTTTCATCCATTAAAAAACTACAATTCATTGAGAAATTCATTCAGAATTTCCTTTTTCCTTAATAAATTGTAAATGTGATTGATCAGAAAAATATTTCATAACTCGTTCAGAACAACTACTATTGAAAACTGATCGATATATATTTTTTCATCTACAGGGCTAAAATTCGACGATTTATTCGGAATTTTCTTTTCGGAGTAGCAACTCCTATCGAAACCTAATGGACTGCTAAAATTTTTATGAAAAAGTCACACTTTCGAGAATATAATTTAAAAAAAAAATGGAATCTTGGTAAAAAATTGTTTGTGTCGTGGTATATATAAATATTATAAAAAAAAACATTGTATTTCGCATCGTATATTCCTATCATGCGCACTCTCTGCAGAAAGATTCCTACAAACGCATGAAAATTCGCAAAGACCATCATTAATGCATCATGCTACATTTATTCGGACGAGAGTTTTCATTATCCAAGAAAAGAATTCTAAAAAAAAAGAGAGAGACCAAAGATTAGAAGCTTTCATCTTCGAGAAAGGCTGCAGAGTAAATTTCTCAAACAGCAAATAAAATACATCATGCTATCAGATAACAGCACGTTGCATGAAACTTTCTAATTATCCTCGTTAGGACTTTGAACGTGCTGGATCGTTGCTCCCCTTTATCCCGAGCAGATCTGTCGTGTTTTATTAGCGGTCGTTCGTAAAAGCATCACGAGCAGCCGTGACGATTATTTTTCTTTTTCTTTTTTCTCTTCCTCTTCTTCTTTTCGCGATCGGAAGATTTAATCGTGACTACACGAGCCGTCCGACAATCACCGGTTCGTTCACTGACGTTCGCTCTTATGGCTGCAACGGGCCACGCGCATCTCGAATCTCGTAATTTGCGGGGGAAACGATGCAATCGCATTATGCCTCGTTAGAACTGACAGAATCATGCTCTCTGTCGCGGCATCTGCAACGTCCCGTGAATCTTCGTCCAGAAATGGGATTAATAAATCGATTTCTTGCGTTAGGCAAGGTGTTCGCGGAGCAACAAACACCTTCTTCAACGATTTGTACGTCGTTATGTTCGTAGGTAATGCGAGTTTCAATGGAGGGATGTTCACTCCTCCTCCGGTAGAAATCGGTCGTAATTCTTCCAGTTGTTTTCCAAGCCCGTTGAGCAACAGCTCATCTAAATGTTCCAAATATTTCGGTTCCAAATATTTATTTGGAGCTTTGCAAAATTGTGTGATCCAAGCGAAATGTATATAAATAAGAAATATATATTAATAAAAAATAATATCGAATTTAAACGAATCCTTGGGATTCTTTTATTACTTTCGTAGCCAGGGTATTAAAAAATAGAATTCAAACGAAATGAAAATTTTGTCAACGTTCGCCCGATAAAAACTCGAAGCTTCAAAAAAGAAAACTGGTTCTCTCGGTACTAAAATTTTGGAACCTCTTGTAGTTAATAATATCAATTTGGTATTGTAAGTTTGCTTTTCAGAATTTTACGATTTTATATCAAACAGGGTAATCAAACTATTTGTAATTTGTAAAATCTACTTATAAAACTTATTACATAATTATTTTATATTATTATATAATTATATTATATATAATTATTTTATATTATTATATATTATATATATTTATTATATTATATATAATCATTTTATATTATTATATATTATATATCATATATTATATAATTATATTATATATAATTTTTTTTCATTTGTTGTCCCGTAAGATTTGTAATATTAATAGTAATGTCAGCAGAATTTTAATCTGTATATTCGTAAAATTTGATTACCACGATTTTTTCTCGGGTAATTGTTAATCAGATTCATATTGTTCAATGGAATATAATTTGTCATACAGTCTGAAGCTGCTCATACAATCTATACAATACGAGCATTGTTGCTATAGATACTCCTGTACATTTTCTTGTACGACATATTAATTACAAAATATTTTCATTTCCATGAATATCAAGAAACTAGCATAGTAGAATTATCATACAGCTATCGAAATTCCCTCGACCCCGATTTTGTATTATAAAAACACCACGACCATTCTTTGTATTATAATCGGTAGCTATAAAATTGATCAACAATTTCTGCTTCCTCGTTATCGACTTCCTATTAATAATTCATCGACCAGAGATCGTTGTATCTCCGTAGAGGGATAGACGAGTCTGGCCTCTATAATTATCATCAATGACGCAGGAACTTTATCTCTTCGTCCGACAATTTCACAGTCATTTCTACTTCTTCGTCGACCTCCCCTTCGACGACCTCCATCTTTCTCGGTTTCTTAAAATGTCAAGAATCGCCGTGTAGCTCTATATTTCGTTCCAAGGTTCTGTAACTGGTGGTTACAACAGTCCTCCATTGTCTTATCCGCGTTGATAAACAAAAGAAGATCAGGTTTTTCATGGCGTGTAACCGTGCTCTCTCATCACGTGTTCTCACGAAGGAATCAACTTTTATCTCAGTATATTCAGATAACGTCTTGGATATTTTATATATATATATTTTTTTTTTTTTTTCACGTTATACGCATTATGTGATAGAATTTGAGATTCGTTGCAAGTCGTATTAGGAGCTTTAAAATTAAATAACTCTAAATAAATGTCATGGTCTTCGAAGTTCAATAATACCTTCTTTAATCGATTTTAAATCGATTTACACGATAATCATCGAACATTATCTCAACGAGTCGGTGAAAGTGCCACCATCTGAACACTGGACAAAATTTCCTGCTTTTTTTAGATCTCGACAGAGATCTTTTTTCAATTGTTACGTAGAATCGTGCCTTAATTCGGCCAGCCCCGAAGCGAAAGATATGTAATTACACGTTGCACGTGCTTTTTACATGTCCAACGATCGATACGAGGAAAATATGGCGAAATAATGAGGTCACCGGCGGCGATCGTTAACTCAGTGCCGATAAATTGCTGAATTTAATATCGAGTTGTGATTAAGATTGTAATTAGTCGAGGGGACGTGCAAAAATTGCAATATTACATTATGCCAAAAGACACGCGACTTGTTCTTTTTCTTTCAATTAAATGGTAATTTTATTGGACATAAAATGAATGTGGTTTGCCCGAGTTATGTTTCTTCAATCGTACGTTTTTCTTTCTTTTTTTTTTTCTTTTTTTAATTTTGTTTCGTATCAATTATTTCAATTATATATTTATATATTTCTATGCTACATAATATTATCAGTAGCGTTTCGAGCTACGTTCATTTGTTTTGAAAAATAATTTGCGATTAAATCATATTGAATTGTACTTCGAATGGCGCGAAAGCTGAATTGGCTATAAAATTTTTTAACGTTAAAGTAAATAAAAACACATATAATATTTATACGTAGTAAAAGGACACTGAAAGTGAAACTAGATTGAACTATACTAATTTATGAAGTGTGACATTATTTATAAAAACCGAAAATATTCTGCTAAATATTTATTGGAAATTCTATTCACAAACAAGAGCATGCTCATCTTCACAATTTAAAACAATAAACTTCGAAATCTGGTTCTCGCCAAAAGCACGTAATCTTAATTCGTCGAAACGTCGAGAAACATCTTATAGCGATAAACGTTCCTCGAGCCCTCGAGAGAACATGTCGTAACAGGCTAATATAGATACGTACACGGAGCAGAGAGGTTAATAAATCAACTGCAAAAGAATTTTCGCCGACGGTGATTCACTTGAGTTTACCTTACTACGTACGTACAGTGTGTAACAAAAATAAATGAACATTAATGTTTCGGATGTAATATCTAAGATCTAAACCGGCTATGTTGGCGAATTGAAAACAATAGTCACAATAGTCATAATATGCACCAAATAAACGCGTTACTATAATAATTATTATTTGTAATCACATACATTTGGCTTGTTACAAAAATAAGTAAACATAGTTTTCTAACTTTCTTTCCTCTTTATTATATTATCTTAGCAAAATTTTGTCAAATATCTACTTTAGACATTATTCACAATTGAATTTTGTTGAGTTTTCGTCCTCGTTTACGAAACTCTTAGTAATTCTATATTCTTTACTTCTTTTTTTAAATTCGTATCGTAGAATAAGAAATAAGCGTTCAGCCAACGAGAAACGTCGTTTGATTATCATCAGAATGCAAAATGATAATAAATTGCTAGAATTCAGTAAAACGCCAGCCACCATTTATAAAATATTACCTGCGTACAACAAAAATACAATGCAAATTATCTAATCCAGAAAATTTCAAGGTGACAAACGAACGATTAGATAATAATAGTTAATTTGTCAATATCGAACTCGCTTCATTCCGTCCCGACAAACACACTCAGAAATTGCAGCCTGAAGGAAAATTTTTCACCTCCTACTCGAACAATCAGGCAGCGATTGCACATTGGAACATTTGCTACTAAACTGTTAAACTAAAGATTTAATGATTATTTATTTACTTTTGTCACTTACTCATTCATTCAAAAATTCTCAGCGCTTATGTTTAAATATCTGTGAATATCAATCGTCGATTGCGATTAATTCCTTTTATGTTAAGTAAATCTGTACTCAATCACACAAGATCAAAAATTTCCCATAAAAAAAAAAAAAAAAAAAAAAAATATACGTATACGTTTCTGTTAAATCATCGAAGTGTTCACTTATTTTTGTCGCATACTGTACGTACGTACAAGGAAACAACCTCCCGGAATCAAAGCGGAATCGACGGATTGCGTGTCGCGTGCACGTGTTATTTACAATGGTATTAACATCACTTACAACGAGCCACGGAGCAAATTGTAGGTGTAGTCGAAGACGTTGGTCCTTCCTGGCCCGTTGAGGATCAACGCGCAGTCATCGCCGTTTGCGTAAACCTCGAGCGGCTGATATTGCAGGCCGTCGCAGCTATCGTTGTTTCGCCAGGTCGCCAGTAGCAGCAGCAGCCCGATTATCGCGGATCGTGTCCGCCCTATCACGGATCTGCAACAACGTAACAGCGACGATTATCTGCCCTTCCGGGCGTCGGAGTTATATCGCGAGCCGATCGCGCCCGAATATTCCACTCTCGCGTAGCCCAGATCTCGTTGCGGCTTTCGCATTACGCTCTTCTTCGATCGCATATTCGCGTAGATTTAGATTTAATATGTATTACAACACGTTCCGTGCCGCGTGAGAATTTTCATTGCGAGGCAAAGAAATTTTTAAAAATTCGTCATAAAGTTATTTGTCATCTTAGTAATATGTATACCAAGTTTGTCATTTTTTTTTCCCCCGACTGTCTGCCAAGATCAACTGAATTCGGTAAAAAGACGCTGTAAAATTCGTTATCGAAATAACGTTAAACTAGATATTACTTAGACTGGTATTTAATATTATTGCATAGTATTATATAATTTATATAATAAATTGCTATCGTTTAATATTATATATTATTATCTAGCACATAAAAAATAATACCTTAAAATTAAATTTATTGCTTTGTTTTGCAATGCATCTTAAATTCTAGACAATTTTCTTGATAATTATAGTATTTGCATTAATAGTGGAAAGTGATCAAAAATCAGCTCGGCACGGAACGTGTTAAATTAATTAATATTAGATGGTCTTGTTGATCTTGATCGACGGTAATTTGATCTCGAGCCTGATTGATTTGATACCAAGCAGACCAAGATGAAATTTTCTGCGAGGATTTCGAATTTTGGGCTTTAATTAAATGTGTAAGTAGGTGAGAATTTTTAGATGGAAAATTGATGGTTAAACTGTGAGAAATGTTGGATTCTAGTACGTATCTTGGACATAAATCACGCCATCGGTAGAGATACTCGCAGCAACAGGAGCGACAGACAAATAGGCAGCTGAGTAGATTAGCTATTTGTAGCGTGGTAATAGAATCTAATTCCAAGGTAGATATCTAAGTCCTTACATCTAAATTGCTACGTTCAACGCGCCTTTGCTTCAACTCGACGAGATGAAACGGAGATAAATTTTCCAAATTTTCCGTAATTCAATCCAAATTGTACGAAACTCTTGTTGTTAAGTGTTGTCAAAGTTAGGAAGGAAACAAATTTTATCAATAAATATCATTTCCATATTGAATTGTATGTATTTGCTCATATTTATCAATATGTTCATTACGTTTATCAATAAATATCATTTTCATATTCGTGCAAATACGGGAAACTAAATTCATATAATTGAAAATTATAGCGCATCGTTCGAGTGAAACAGCGGCGGAGTTGCATGTTGATGTATGACGTTTGGCTCGAGCCACGATGTCTTTATGTCTTCGTTTATATCTTTTCTTCGCAATGGATTGCCGTTATCAAATTAAAGCTCAAATTATTATCAAACCCATCGATAAGAAACAAAATTACGACTCTTTAATTGTTGGTGACGCAAAGTTAATTATTTTACGCAGAACAGAATTTTCCGAAAGCAAATGTTCTTCAAACGTCCTCGAACGTGTCTCTCTCTTCGTTTCGAAAACACCTGTGTCATAAATATTTTATGAAATTCCTCGTCATGGCACGGAGAGCAAGATTGCCAAAGTGCGAGTATACGTATTTATTTATTACTTATGCGAGCAGTTTCTTCACTCTGAATTCACGCATCGTCGAAAATGAACGGGTACGTGTTCGTTCAGATAAAATACAAAAGAAGAATGATCTTGACGATTTCATTTCGTACGAAACTCTAACGACTCTTCGAATCTTGCGAAAGCGGTTGTTTCGAAATGTTTGTTTCTCGAAATTGATCGAGATCAGCGCGAGGAAATCACGTTATGTATAAATTCACCAGCGTATTTATGCATTTGTTAATTACTATCGCTGCGAACGGAAAGGAAAAAAAAGAGGAAATATAGATTGTATCATTTTGGCCTGATTGTTCTATTTTTCCTTCCTTTCCATTTTTCTACCGCTTCGAATAATAATAACGAACAACCTGAATTTTTAAATTAAGTAAACTGTTGCCTGATCCATAGCGTTGGCTAATCAATAGCCATTCTAATTAATATCTCCTTCGGGAAAAATTATCAAACGCACATTTCGCTGCTCGCCTCTCGATCCATTTTTGAGAAATTTTTTAGAGTTACGCGTGACATTTACTGTTCAAGGCAAAATTAGTGTTTTTCTCCAAATTATCGTAAAAGGTCCAATACTTTCGCACGCCTGTGTATATCGATCTCAATATACACGATCGATCACAAAGTAATGTTGCGGTGTATCCCATTAATCCCCATAAACGGGCGAGTGAAACGCGCGACGTTAGCGATCTCTCGCTAACGAAACGAACTGAAATTTCATCCAAGCTTATTATTCGACACGTTCGACAAGTCGACCAACACCCAGACAGACGTTTCAACCCGAGCTGGTAATTGTCGCGGTTAATAAAATAAAAGGTGAACGGCCTCGGATTAACTCTCGATCTCGATATACCGCGTACATGAATAATTTTCCGCGAAAGCCGCGGGAAAATATCACTCGATTACACAGTTACGCGATCGCGCGTGTACCTACACGATCGCAATAATAAATCGACAATCGATCGCCTCCACATTTTACGTGGATATACAATTTACGACATAATATTCTCTCGAGATTGCGACAAAACCAACGACACTCCGATGCATTTAACATTTGCGTCCGTCTTGCGATGAAAATTGCTAATTTGTTTCTTTTCTTCGTCTTTGATTTTCTAATGCAGATAGGCACGATTATTCGCATTTACAATGCGAGAAAAAATATTATTGTAATTTAGAAATTAGTTAGGCGAATGAGTATTTTCTTCTTTATTGAAATGGAAAACGAGAGAAAATATTTGTGGGGGAATGATGGAAGGTGCAAACATATTATGGGTACTCGCAAGTAATGTTTCTTTGATACTGTACAAAAGTTTATTTTATTTAAGTGTTAATACAGTAGTAATCTATAATAAGCAGACTAAATGTCAATATATTTAACTAGAATATAGGTTGCGTCGTAATAAATTAAATTATTGTCGCTGGCTGGCAATGTTTATCAAAATTTGAAAAAAAACAACGTTACTTATGGGTATCCCTAACACGCAAAGAATTAGTTCAGAACACGAAGATTCGTCTAGAAAAAAAATTGAAACATAAAAGTGGAAGTCAGTATTTATACACATTCTTCGAGAAAGTTGCAACCTTTTACTCAGTAATTAGCTTAAAATTAAATTAAAAAAAATTCAATTTAGGCACATTTGGCATTTTTCATTTTCTTTGTCGGAAAATAATTACTCAGAACATATTTTTCTCGCGTCTCTCGTGATTATTTGTTTTTCACTCCTTTGTTTGTCCTCATTCTCAATGCTTCTCAAAAAAAAAGAAAAACTGTCGCGCGTCTGCTTCACGTGACGAGGAATCTCTGTCATCCTGCTCCTTCGTTTCTCTAATTGTAAGAAACTGACAGGCGGAAAAAAGTGGCGAAAGTGAGACAAGCCGCGAATTCGCGAGATTCTAGACTAATCCGTAACGGCAATGCACCGTACGGTACGTGTTTGATTTATGGTGTTTCACGAGGGATTCCTCGAATGGTACACAGGGCCACCACCACGGTGTAGGTTGAAGTCATTGACTGAAGGCATTCATCCCGATCGGGAGGGAACAGGCCTTATGAAATCGAACGCGTCGCGACTAGTTTTATGTATCGTTTCATACGTGAGCGGAGTCACGCGAGCTGACCAGAAAGCAAAGAAACCGAAGGCGTTTCGAATATTTCTCTTATGCGATTAGTACGTGCTGCGTTCTACGTTCCTCGGGCGTACGAACGAAGATGCGCCTAGAAATTTTTGTTTTCTGGCAAAACAGCTGGAAATGTCTCGAACTCTCTACTTTTAGATATTAGAAATTAATATCAGTAAATTGACCAAAAAGTAACTGCCTTTTTTTGGTATGCAAATGAAAGGCGAATCTCTCGTGAAGAACAAAAATTTTATTAATATTGACCACTACCTTTTTATATAATTGTTCGATATTAAATATATTAAATATATTAAATACACATATTGTTATCAAATATATTAAATATATTGATCGATTGCCATTGCCATCTTTTGCCATCTTTCAGGCAACTTTGTGACATCGCGTTTGAAAAAGTTTTCATTTTATTTAGAGAAAAAGTTCCCTAAGAAATTTAGCACGCCAATTCTGACAGTTGCACGGTGTTTTTTTTTTTTTTTTTCTCTAAGAAGTACTACAGGAAAAAATAACGAAATGGTTCCTTTTTAATTGTTCCATTTTATGGAAATGTTCCTTTCGAAAATGTTTGATTTCCCATTTGGAAATATTCCACTTTTATTTTCACAATTGTTAACGAGATCGTGTATTCTCTTTTTCCAAAACAAGCTTGAACAACTCAGCTACGAGATTACAGAATGAATTTGCAACTTGGAATGAAGTTAGTTGCAGTTTAAGAAATACATATACATATCCATCTATAATAGAAAAAAATAATTGCTTCTGGCAATTGTTTTTTGGCCAACCCAATGGTACTCACGTAACTTTTCATTTTGAAACAGTATTAACATCCTTAATTTGATTTTCGAATTATTGCGACATTCTTGATTTAATTTTTGTTCAGTTTCATTCTCTTCTTCAAATTTCTTGCAGATGCATAAACATCCACGGCGTAATCATTAATTAGATGTAGAGATTTTATCTTTGTGTCAAACAAATTGCACGGCAAATTCCTTTACACTTGAAAATTATTCTTACCATTTCTCTTTGCGTCTCGTACGGAGAAATGCAAATGCTGTCGCGACAAGAATTGCGTGAATTGGCCCAACATTCTAACCGCGTAACGCCGAGAAATCGTACCGTGCCGGAAATCGGCGAAAGCTGAAAGGACGAGAAGAAATGGCCTCGAAAAAAAAAATACGAAACCGCGGGCATTTGAATCGTAACGAGAGTTACGTGCGCCGTAATCAAACGGCGCCGGTTTGATATTAATAAAATACTTCGACATTACATAATCTCTGTAATAGGTATCTCGTTTATATGCTCCACCGTAATCGCGTAACAAGTCGAGAAATTATTTGCTCTGTGGAGAACGCGTAATCGATCGAATTGATCGTTGAATATTCATCGAAATACAAAGAATTACGCTTGCTGAAAAAATAATATTTTACATTTGGCTTGGGACGTAAAATAAATTCTTTTTAGTGAAAATATCGAGTAACGAACAAATACAGTAACGGTGATTCAAAATTAATTTGAGAACGTATAACTCATCAAAAATTCAGCTACGTTTAATACAAACTTTATGACAACTTCTAGTTGGAAAACTAGAACCAGTAGATGTAACTTGTCACGATTATTTCTGTGAATTTCGGACCGTGAAATTTCGATGAAAGACACGCGTCAAACGCGATTTCTCCTTTCGAATACATGTAGATTTAGAAATCTGATCGACTACACTTCCTCCATTCTTCAAATCTGTAACTTCTCTCTCTCTCTCCCTCTCTGTCCCGCTATTCGATCACCATACCGTTCTAATCTCCCACAATCAGTGATTATCAACTCCCACGTTGGCCAGCTTTATGCGTTCGTGAGAAATTTATAGCTCAGCAATGAAAATTCCATTTCCGTGGTTACGTTCGTAAAAAAATAAGATTACATGGGCACGCATAAAAAAACGCTATGCTTCTTTCCAATTTCCTCGATTTCATTTTTTCGAATAACGACAGCGAAATCCATCGTGACGTGCGAGCTTCGTTGCGGATTCATTGGAAATGATAAACTGTGATAAATTGCAAATCGCAAACGTGCGAAAATTTTTACTTCACGCTTCCTCGAACATGCCCTCCCACGTATATTACACGTTCGCCACAATACGTCGGACAAATATTCGCGGTGAAAGTGCGTGAACGCGCTCGCGCCAAATTTTACTCGCGCACCGATTGATGAAAAACGTCGATCGGTGTTGATAACATTGTCGGGATATTACGGGGGGTATGAAGGGGGAGGGGGGGGAAGAGGGAAGGGGTGTCCGATCGGAATAAAGATCGCGGATTACTTTCTCGCTGCGTCTGCCGCAGTATTCTCCTTTCACTTTCCTCGCAACGAGTCCGATGCAACGACTGATTGAATCCAATCTCGCGATGCGCTCTCCACTCGATCGGATTATGTCCCGGGCCCCGGTGTCGACCGTTTTCCCCCGTCGGATAACGTAATTCGTAAAATCGATCCTCGCGGATCGATCGGCTACGAATGAGAAAGCGAACAACTTGAAGGACACGCGGCTTGAAGGAAGAGACGCGTATCCTTTGAATTTAGCATTTGAATTAGGAATCCCAATGGGTACAGACGTTGCCATTGTGCTTGCAATTCTCGATGAGTATCACCGACAACAGTAATTTAATTTATAATTAATTAAATGTTAATTTAAATTAAATGTAATTTTATATTTTTAAAAATATAAAGGAAATAATTGCAATAAATGTAAGTATAAATATTAATATTATGCCTGTATCGATATTGTTGTGAATATTATATAAATGAATATTAATTTAAATTAAATTAAATTAAATGTAATTTTGTATCTTTAAAAATATAAAGGAAATAATTGCAATAAATGTAAGTATAAATATTAATATTATGCCTGTATCGATATTGTTGTGAATATTATATAATTGAATATTAATTTAAATTAAATTAAATTAAATGTAATTTTGTATCTTTAAAAATATAAAGGAAATAATTGCAATAAATGTAAGTATAAATATTAATATTATGCCTGTATCGATATTATTGTAAATATTATATAAATGAATGTTAATTTAAATTAAATTAAATTAAATGTAATTTTATATTTTTAAAAATACAAAAGAAATAATTGCAATAAATGCAAGTACAAATATTAATATCATGCTTGTATTAATATTATTGTAAATATTAAACGTGACATCATATTAATATTGTACAAATGTTATTATTATATATAATAATATTGTGTAACGTTATAAATATTACAACAAATTTATGATACGATGAAAAAGCGCAAGAGTCTTCGAATCTAAATTTCTATGAAAAATCACAAATTCGTCATTTTGGCCATTCTGGTAATTCCATTATCATTTAATTTTGATTAACTTTACATTATCTCCTCGTGGTGGCGGTCATTTTATCTATTACTACATATTATGTTATCGTACTTTCCTTCGACTTCAATGAACACAGAATTAAAAAAATGAAAATTGGAGCGATCCTTTGAATCGGGGAGCTGGCCGCCAACCGTAATAATGAATTACGACAGAATACACTTTTCGAGAGAGACTCACCTCGTGGTCGTTCTTGCGTTCTCGAGTTCTCGTTTCTTTTATGCGAGCGTTGGGAAACGCAATGCCTCAAACATGGATGCGCCGAGTGTATACGGTCGTTAGTTTCCACGAATGGTAATTGTGAAGCGCACGGTAGCCCATTAAACGGCGTTTTGTTTGAAGATTTCAAGTTAGATACGGTTACAAGAGATTACATCATCATTACACCGGTCTCTCGGATGTTCATTACTGTCAGAAATATATCAATCCTCCCTTTCAACTGTGAATCGAGTTGCTTTCTCGCGATTATTCTCCGGAGGAAGGATCCTTTTAATAATCTGACGATCACAGATCGTTTTACAAATGATTGAGAACGAACGCTAAAAGGAAGAAACGGGGGAAGTATGTGTGTTCAAAATGTGTGAGTTGTTCCTCGTAAGTGTACGTTGATTAATTTTCTTGCCTTTAGCTTTTGAACTCTGTCTCACTGTTTATTTCCTATTTCGTTAGCCTAAATTTGATTTCCCAATGGTCTTTTAAATGGAAAGAATTTTTTTTAATTATTGAACTACTAATTTTTAATGTACAGTTAGTAACTGATAATTATAATTAAAGTGACGAAATGAAAATAGCGATTATATGAAATATTCAATTTTCAATGAGCCATACTTGACTCCTTATTGTTAGAAATCTTAAAAAAAATTTAGATAAAAATTTCTACAAACAAAATTTTCGTTTAGATAAAGATTCCTATAGAAACATAATCGTGTTTCTATTTAAGAACAAATCGGTGTTTATAAACCAAAGAGTCTGATAAGTTTCGATATCGATATTCTAAATCGTTCAACCACAAGTAATAATGGCACAAAGAAACCAAAAGAAGAAAAAGGAAAAATAGTCTTCCTAATAACAATAATCGCAACAAATCTGTTAGTGACGGAGCAGTGTTAACAGTAGTTTACCTGAGCATTCTGCGTCCACGTGCTCCACGTTGCTGGCCGATCTTCGGCAGACCGATTCGAGCAGATGCTCGACGTTCAAGGATGAACCGAAGAACGCGTACAACACTCTCGGCGCACTTCTCCTCCAGCCACGAATTCCCGACGAGTTCTTCGCGAAACGAACGAAAGAAAAAAAAATGCAAAGTACCAAGTACCACCAAGTACCAAGTGATCGAAGTGGAATATTTCGAAGAGAAAAGGGAAGAGAGTCGTGGTCGAAACGACGAATTCTATAGTGTCTTCTCTGTGTCAGACACGAGTTCGACTAATTCACCACTGTGTCAGACGATACAACGGCAGTGGATAGCCAGCCCACTTCTACTGGAGAAATTCGGTCGCTCTGGCCGTTGTTAGTTAGTCAGTGACTAGTCAGACTGACACTGGATGTGCTCGGTGTCGAGTGATTGTTGGTTAGAGGCTCACTGACCGTGTGTCTCATATAATGCGGTAACCTCACTCGACGCGTGTGCTCGTGTAGTTCTTTATCGACTACGTGTACACGGTGCTGTGGGCACGTGGTGGTGGAAAAGCTCCCCAAAAGCGGTGGCTGGCTGAACAGCCAAGAGGTAGGAAGAGGGCGAGAGAGGGCCGATGGAAGTTACACTTGGTCTCTCGAGGGGACTAACAACCTCCAGGTGAGAGAGAACACCGGGAGACAGTCTGGTTAAGCCTGGCTGAAAAAGAAAAAGAAAGAAGAGGAAATAGGGGCAAAGAGAGCGAGATAGAGTGAGGAGGAGGGAGGAGGAAAAGGCGGTGGAGGAGGAGAAGGAGGAGGCGTAGACTCCCGTCCACGTTTGACTTTCCTTTCTCTAAACGAGCCGCCGGCTGCTGCCCTCGATTCCAGACGTCGATTGTGTCTCCGCGCTCTCCGAAATATGTAACGTACTCGAGAGAGTCGCCACCCGATCGCCGCGATTCATCTATGATCGTCAAGACAGGCGTCTCGTCTCGTTCTTGCAGACTCTCTCGTTCCTTCAGATTCAATTCTCTTCCGTAGAGTTGTCGAATTCGGTAAAATGGGGGGGGGGGTAAGATTGAATCGAGATGAGTTGACGTCGCGTGAAATTTATCTGGATAGGAAATTTAAATTTTCCTAATCGAATTTGTCGTACGATGACTATCGATCATATTGTATTTAACCTCTTGCGCTGGGATAACGTGCCACGCACGTCGACAATTTTTTCTACCAAAATTGCAACATTTCCTCAGTTTTAAGTATGTTTAAGTAACCTAACCCAGACAAAACAAATAATAAATTTATTACTTCTCAGTAATTTCTATCCAGTCATATCGTGCCGGCGAGTTCAGAAGAAAAAGAAAGCGACGAATTGTTGTATATGGTTTGGTCACTCGTTATGGTCCGCAACGCATCTGAATTTGGACAGAGCGTAGAGAAATTATTTAACTCTAGCCCCTTAATATTCCTTCATTTTGGATTCGTTAGGTCACGTAGAAGGCCGATGGAAAGACCGCAGGAAGTGAAATTGTATGCCGTTTAGTACGAATTTTCGTTTCCAAATCTCTATTAGCAAACGAGATGGACGTTTTCTCTGGAATGAGATATGTAACGAGAGATAGGATGATAGGAAAACGCCTTCAGGAGTGATACGCGAAATCGAGAGGTATAAAGTCCTTTACGAGGGAGTTTTACAGCCTGACGCCATTCGGGCGTTTCAAAAGGACATTCGATTTTCGTTATGTAAGAGAGGCGCGCGTACCGTGCTTATAAGCTTTGTTGCGTAAGGTTATGAAAGTCGTGAGAATTTGAACAGCGAACGGAATATTGTAATTGATTGTGTAAGCCGGCCAGATACTTCGACGATAAACGCAAGTCGTTTTATCGGTTAGTCACATTTTATTTGAAAGTAATTGACCTTGTGATCGCTTCGACTTTGCGATCGTGCGAGTTAATAACGTGAATTTTGGCTGTCAAAACAGGGGCTCGAGAAGAGATGATATTGACCATGAAAAAATTCGACGTTTGAAAATATATTTCACGAAATATTCATAAGAGATGAATTCAAATTTTGGACGAATCAGTTTTAATTTTAGAACTTTCTCGATCTTTTGTTTAGTTTCAAGCTCAGTTGAAATTCAAATAAAATTTGGAAGTAGTAGATATGTTAATTTAAGAGATAACAATTAGAATAAATTAAATTCAATAGAGCGGGCTTTGATCGATCTAGCTGGTAAAAAATCGCACCATTGAAAGGTTTGCAACTGGATTTGCAATTTTTCTACACCTGAAAATTCAAAATTCACGCGAATCCTTAACCTCTTGCGTTGGAGTGACGTGCCACGCACGTCGAGAATTTTTTCTCTTCCAAAATTGCAATGTTTCCTCAGTTTTAAGTATATTTAAGTAACTCAGACAATAAATAATAATAAATTTATCACTTCTCAATAATTTCTATCCAATCGATATCATATCGACGAGTTCAAAAAGAAAGACGAATTATTGTATACGCTTTGGTCACTCGTTATGGTCCGCAATCAGTTGCCAGCGCAGGTGGTTGAAACTCTAGTAAATATATTTTATAGAAAAAAAAAAGAAAATAAAATTCGCAACATATCGTAATTAAACGTCGAAATAATTTTACATTATAAAAAGAGTCTCGTTCTCGTTGCTGGCACTTTGGCGAGAGAATCAACGATAGAAAGAACTCGATAATTCGCAATTATCGAAGTATCTGTCCAACGTGCAAATTCGACAGCTTTGGAAACACTATAGTTTCTCTCTGTTGATTCGACGAGCTTCTGCGAAAAAAATGTTCGAACTCTCTTACCCCGTGATAAACGTGTGTCGATCTCGATGGCGCAAGTATCGCCGGGTATTATTGGTTTCTGCGTCGATTTAGATCACGGCGTGGTGAAAAAATCACTTGATTAATCAGAGGACTCTGTGGGATTTCGCGGCTAGGCGTGCATTAGACGGCGCTATTGCGAATCATAGAAAGCGACGTGACGAGTACAAATTGTAAACGATGCCTCGCCGTGGATCATCGAATACCAGCCACGATCAATCAGACGGTAACAACGAAAGCGAGTCGGACGTTGTCATTTGCACGAGCGAATTGCCAGGCAAATTCACCGCGACCGGATCACACGGCCACTTGTTCTCTTTCTTTTTTTTCTTCTTTTTAATTTTTGTATTACGAGCGAAAACGCTTCCTTCTTCCGGATTGTTGTCACGACTGAATTTAGAAATTATATTTCTCTTTAGAATTTTTTTCATCTGATCGTTTAGTTCGCGTTTTTGCGGCTTTGTCGTTAGATTTGATGTGGATGGTTGATTGTCGGTATTATTCTTCATCGAGGAGGTGCAAAACACTCTGAAATTTTTCATTATCATTTGTTTCGTTATAATACATCGCGTGGTGTTTGAACAGTGGAAAAATATAAAAATCAGTATTAACTAGATAACAAATTAGAATTAGATTTGGAATTTGACGCTATATGCAAATACTCGATAAAATATTAAAAATTAAATATTATTAATGTTAAAAATTCATGTATACACGCGTTCAATTCTGCTCATCACTGTATAACGCGTGTATATTAAAACAAACGTTTAGAAATTTTGACGACTCGATTGAAAGAGCTAAATTTATATTGTAGTTATGTAATAGTTGAAATTTTTGAATTAATAAAACAAGTGATAGGAGAATTGAAAAGTGCCTTTATCGAATACCTTCGGGAGTATTAGATACATTAACGAACGATGAAGACATTTCAGTTAATGATCAACAATTATCTTGTTTAACAGTTTGTACCGTATAATTGAGCGTGGATTAAAAGATCAGTCTAGGAAGATGATCCTAGCAATATACTTACGGAACATCCAATCGTTTGCAGAAAACATTCTAGTTAATTAAAGCAACATCGATTTGATTTCTCGCGATGCACGCTTCAATCAGTTCTCACCGCTATTCATTATCCCGTGAATCATAAACCTGATTTGCAAAATTACATAGGAGAATGTACTGAGTAAAAGAAAATCGATATGATCTTTTTAGCACCGAAGTGAAACGAAATTTATTCTGTAATTGACCATTTTTTTATTACAACATCCTTTCTATTGTATTCTCTATTTGTATCCTTAACACGTTGACTGCCACGTGAAACCTTCTTTCTTTTTTTTTTTTCTATGGGACAAAATATTTAATTTCTATGAGATGATGCGTTACAATGAAGTAGAATATGCGAAATATTCGTAAAATATTAAATATTACTGAACGTTTAAAAAAGAAACGAAAATACATTTAGTCGTGGAATATAATGAAAGTCAGAAAATGAGTCCAATTAGTTACATTAAAAATAGTGACTCAATATCATCAGAATTTCAAAATAATTTGAACAATAAGAGAAATTTTCAACTGTATAACAGCTTGAAAATAGCAAACGATGATAATTATATCGAGATATGTACAAATAGATCTTGCATCTTGAATTGTGTACCAGGTGAAGATATAACGAAAATTTTAAAGTGCTGATTATTAGACGTACATTCTTTATAATATTATAAATATTTTAATATATATATAATAATTATTTTAATATATTTATAATATTTTTCAATATTTAATATATATATATATAATAATTATTTTAAATTTAATATATTACAATTTTAATATATTATATTTTTATTTTAATATACAATAAATATTTGTATTTGAAAACAATTTCCAGTTGATTTGCAACACGATCGCATGTTTGACTCTTTCAGACGGATCACTCGAAAAACCAGCTACCCGAACAGACTTATCCCCCAATTATAGTTCGTATAATCGACGTTCTACTGAAACTCTCAAACGTTCAAACGTTCAAACAATTCGAGGGAACGTCTCTCTAGCTACAGATCGGTTTTATACCGATCAATCAAAACTACCAACAGCATGGGAGCGCGAACGCGACGTAACATATCAGGCAGCGTAAATAGATGAAATACAAATTGACCCTGCAGAGCTAAGTCGAAGTAAAGTAAAAGTCGTCCAATCGCCGGCGTAGATCCGCTGCTTTTAATGCAAGACCGTCACGTGACGGGAAAAATGCGACGAGCACGGTGTAATTATGTCGTACATCTTCCCGAGACTTCACGTTCTCTCGTCGTTTCTCGATCCTCTTCCCGCCGACTTGGACTTGCAAGAGAAACTTTTGCGTCGGTCGTTCTTCTCGAGACAACCGCCGTGAAGGGTTGTAATCGTTAATAATTCGCTACTTTACGTAATCATATCGTCTGTATACACGCATACACACACATACGTACTCGTGTATTTACGTTTTTTCGATCTTCCATCTCCGGCTCGTTTCTCGAATTAAAATTGATTGTGTAAACAGTGGAAGATTGAACGAGGGGCACGAGGATGAACGCGCGTGCAGGTGCCAGGCAACGTTTACGATCCGCCTGGCGCCATTATCGTAAATTGAAATGATTCGCGACGGTAAATTTGTCGGTGTTCAATTACTAATTGCAAGTTCAAGCGGCGATTGTTTATATTGGACGTTGAAGAGGGTATCGCGTCGTTGATGGATTTCGAGGTCTCGAAATTAGTACTGAATTACCCTTTCGTTATGAAATTTTATCCCTCGATAGGGACTTTCTTTGACTATTCAATTGCTTGGCGTTAAAGTTACGTTATTGTTATAT